CTGCAGGTTTAAAACCAATGTCATATAGTGTAAACTTTATCTAGAGAAAGTGGATTTGGGGGGAAGATTCAATATTGGCACATAATTAAAATTCCCATGGGATCTTTGAGCATATTATCTTGATTACAGCTGTCCAAAAGAAATATAATGCAAACCACAAATGTGAGCCATATATAAATTAAAAATTTTCTAGTAGCCACATTAAAAAGTAAAAGTAAACAAGTGAAATTCATTTTAATAATGTTTTATTTAACCCAGTATATCCAGATTAGTATCATTTCAACAGGTATTCAACGTAAAAATTATTGAGATTTTTTACTCTTTTTTTTGTACTGTCTTTGAAATTCAGCATGTGTTTTGAATTACAGTACATTTAAATTCAGATGAGCCACATTGCAAATGCTCAGTAGCTATGTGTGGCTAGTGGCTTCCCTATTGGATAGAGCAGCTCTAGATGATCTTGGTCTCTATGTAATGTACCAGTTAGCATGTAGTGCTTTCTCTCTCCCCATTTATGCCAAGAAAGTGTCCTGATTCATTTACTTAAACAAATAAGACTTTAAACTTTCTGTGTTACCATATAAATACTCTCCCAAGACATGCAAATTGTCTTCCTAATCCAATATGACTCAAATTCTTCCCATTTTGAATGATATCAGCTCTCTGCTGTCTTGGAGATGATTAGTATCTGCACATTTATTGAAAATTATCATTATTTACCCTAGAACCAGGGTAAGTGTTTCAAGTGAGTGGCCGTTTGCCAAAACCTTAGTCATAGGTAAAACCAAAAAACAAAAGAAGACTCATTAAGGTATTAACAAATGGGGAAGCTAGACTTATAAATGAGCAGTAATTTTGAAAGGAAATCCTTTTGGGAGCCCCTCCCACACACACATTTTAATTCAGAAGGACAATCTATATTTTTACTAAGGTTAAAATTTTTATCACTTAATAGTTTAATTGAGAAATTGCTTTCAGAGGGATGGTTTTCTAAACAAGAAATTCAAGAGTGATCTAGAGAATTCCTTAAGTATTAACTCTTAATAAATGAGAGAAAATATAAAGAATATTCAAAATAATAACCAGATTGCATTCATTTTGACAAAAAGCGTCAGTAAATTTTATTCTCACTCTCCTACCCTAGACGTGCAAAAATTGTATTAGAAATGTGGGGTGGGGGGAGATATAACAACTACAATTTTTTGAAGTTGTTACAACAAGCAAATGGAAAGGACATTCTTGAGTGGGAGGGGGGAGAGGGAGGAGGGAGGGAGGTTTCGGTGATGGGCCATAATAATCAACTACATTGTATATTGACAAAATAAAAATTGAAAAAAAAAAAAAGAAATGTAGGGAGAGTTGACTGGAGCCAAGATCAGGACAGTGCCCCACTTCTTAAAATTCTGCCCTTTTGACTCCTTTTCCTCTGAAGTGCACTATGTTATTTAGTCAGGGAGCAATAATTATTTTTGGTGTCATGGACCCCCTTTGGTAGTGTGGTGAGGCCTACAAACCTTTTCAAAAGAGTAATATTTTTTAATTCATAAAATAAAATATATGGGATTATGAAGGGGACTAATTATAATAGTAGTCAAAAATCTATGAAAAAATATTTGATAATATATGTGCTTCTTTATTAATGCATTAAATAAGTTCTAGTGATAGGTCTGATAACTAACTACCATAATTTCAAAGTAGTGATATAAAGACTACTTTGAGATATCTTGTAATAACTGTAATGTGATATGAAAATATATGTGATTTCTATTGTGAATTAGAATGCTAAATTTCGGGCTGGCCCGGTGGCGCACTGGAGAGTGTGCCGCTTGGGAGTGCGGCGGCGCTCCCGCCGAGGGTTTGGATCCCACGTGGAGACCGGTTCCTGCTCACTGGCTGAGCGTGGTGCGGGCGCAACACCGAGGGTTGCGATCCCGTTGCCGGTCCCCGGTACGGGCGCGACACCGTGGGTTGCGATCCCATTACCGGTCAGTAAAAAAGACAAAAAGGAAAAAAAAAAAAGAATGCTAAATTTCAGTTAGAGTTTAGTGAAAGTAAAGATGTAATTTTTTCCATATGTGTGCTTGCATTTATCAAACCCTCTAAGATGTTAGTGGGTGGGATCCTTCAGCCATCTTCAGTTCTTTTCAGGCCCCAGCTTTTGACTTGGGGAAAAATAAACAGCTCAAATGTAATGTGGAGGAGGATGGAGGTGGGGGGTAGGCAGCAAAGAGGAACAAGAATTAGAGGACAAATAAGACAAATCATGACTATGTAGCAAAGTTGTAGCAGAGTGGGGAGTTGCCTTTTTAAATACTGAAAATCTTAACCAGAGCAAAACCTGATGGAGATTTAAAATCTTTCTGCCAGCTCATTTTTGAGCAAACTAGCTTTCTGATAGTAGAAGAGGACTTCTTGCTGAAAAGTCATTCTTCTAGCTTCTAGAACATTGTACAAAAATTTTCAAGCTTTCTATATGAAATTTCCTTGAAGTACCTATAAATATATTTATGAAAAAGATTATTATAACATTACCAATACATTTACAACCCTGCTTGATCTACTACTACTCTTCATGTCTCCTTAAAATGATGTTTTTTCTCCATTGTAGACTAGGTTCTGCTTATTTCCTTTTACCAAATACTTGGCAATCCTAGACTTTCTACAGTGACTTGTTTAATCTACAAATATCATAACCCTGGTTAACAAGACTATTCTCTACTTTTCCTCCCACTCCCACCCTTTTTTTTCCTTAGGGAAAAATTTGTAATTGAAAAATTTAGTGCCTGGGTGTATTAATCTGTTTTGTGTTGCTGTAACAAAGTACACTGAACTGGGTGATTTTAAAGAAAATGAAATTTATTGCTTACAGTTTCTGAGGCTGGGAAGTCCAAAGTCCATCTGGTGGTGGCAACAGTGATCCAGGGGTCTCACATTGCAAAATGGTGGAAGCAGGAAGAGCAGTGAAAGCAAAAGGCAGACTCTTCTCTTCTTTTTTTTGTTTTTGTTTTTGTTTTTCTGACCGGTAAGGGGATCGCAACCCTCGGCACAGTGTTGTCTGCACCACGCTCAGCCAGTGAGCACACTGGCCATCCCTACGTAGGATCCGAACCCACGGCCTGGATACTACCAGCGCTGCACTCTCCCAAGTGAGCCACAGGGTCGGCCCTCTTCTCTTCTTTTAAAGCCCTCAGAATCATGACCCGGACCACCATTTTTAATCCATTCACTATTTCACGATCCTACAATCTGATCACCTCTTCAAAGGCCACCTTTCAATTACCGTCATAGGATCTCCCACCCTCTTAACAGTCACAGTGGGGGCTAAGTTTCTAATACATAAAACTTGGGGGACGCAATTCAAGCTTCAGGGAGTTTTGGGGGGACATAATTCAATCCACTGCACTGGGGTTTACCAACAATAGAGAAAATTACAGTTCGTGGCTAAATTTTCTCACACTTTATTCAGTTTTGCACTAGATCTATCAGAAACCACTGAGTCAGTCTTCTTTTGACTCTCTTACTTCTTGGTTCTTCATACTTTTAATTGAAAATTCCCTTTACCTTCAGACCTGAGTGCCTTGCCTGGAAGGATTTTAGATCTTAAGCTGACTTTAGTAGTGATTTTGGGGAAAAGCTACTTTTAGGTAAAATAAAGGAGCCAAAACAGTTTGGTGTTGCTTTCCTGACTGGGAAAGAGCTAGGATCGGGCCATCTCCTGTGTATTTGACTTGCAGTTAAGAAGAGCTGGGGGGGTAAAGGCTAGAGGTATAGTGTTTAAAGTAGAGTGTTTGATGGGGAGTGTGTATTTAATGAAGAAAGTAAGAAGGGGGGACTAACCAATCATCATTTTAGAAACAAAAAGACAAATAGAACTACGTTTCAGAGACTCGATGCAAAGGAACTATAGAAAAGTGCACCATCCAAGCTGTCATGTGTTGCAGTCATGTTTTAATAAAGGAACATGGCCAGCAGCCTCAAAGGAACTTTTGAGGGTATTATTCTTGTGAATTACTGTTGTTCGTCTGTTCCTTTCACCTCCCCCTTTTAAAGAAGGGGCAGAAGCATAAATTATTGTCCAGTAACACTGTCTTACTTAGTCATAAACTGGGGTAGACTTAGCCCGGTTTTCTTCATTGTCTTTTCACCCAGATCCCTAAAGAAATAAAATTTCTAATACCATCTCCTTTTCTGTTCCCTCATCCTGCCTTCAGGTTCCTCCCTACCCTTAAACAAAACTTTTTTTGCTTGCATTTTTATTGTACCATTATACAGCCAGCAGCATTGTACTGGCCCCTTTATGACTGTTGGAGCCGAGGCGGGCTGCCCGATGAGGGGAGACAGCATTTGGCCAATGGGGCTGGTATGTGTTATTATTGCTGGCCATTGGGCCTCGGTCCTCTACAGTTCCGTCCTGGCTCATTAAAACTCTGAGCCAAATAGCCGCGCAGGCGCCTGCTGCAGCACTGTGGGGGCCAGGAAGTTAAATGGTTCTCCTAATCCTGCATAATTTATCTCCCTTGTTAGCCCCTTCATAAAATAGTCCAATTCAGCCTCACCATGGAGAGATTCGTTCTAAATTTCCTATTTTTGTGATGACTAATGAGTGCCCAGCCTTTCCCTTCTTCTCTCTTTATTATTAAAAATTGTTTTCTCTTTGTTCACTACGAGTTTGCCTTAATGTTTTTTTTATTTGGAGCCTCCTGCCTGGACCCCACTTCTCCAACAATCTGTCCACTTCTCTTGTTTGGACATGGTATTACAGAGCAGTTGGTGCCAGGGTCTTCCCCCTCTCCTCTCCTTCCTGCCTTCTAGCTCCTTTTTTCATCCATCTCTTCTCCTTTTCCATCACTTCCAATTTTTTCTCCTTTCTATTTCCTCTACAGTCCCTCTTTCCAGGGACCAACCTATTGCAGGATGTTTGGTAGGACATTTAAAAAGGGCACTGAATTGGGTTTTGTTTGTTTGTTTGTTTTCACATCTCCATTTCTGTTTTGTTTCAGAGATTTACAAATGAGGACCACCTGGCAGTTCATAAACACAAGCATGAGATGACATTGAAATTTGGCCCAGCCAGAACTGACTCAGTCATCATTGCAGGTATTTGCTGCCCTAAAAGCCACGTGCCTTGATATCACCAGACAGTTAAGATTAATACCAGGGACCAGATGTACTGGGAGCAGTACTCCTCATCTCCCATTAAGAGCCCTTATGTGATCTGCATTTAATCAGGAAAAACGAACACTAAAAGGTCCCAAGTTTCTATTGTGCCCTCTACTCTGTTTTTTATAACAAGATTGTGTTCTGTGGTTTTTGATGGTTGGTGTATTGAGGTTTTGTCTTTGCTTTTTTCAGTCTATTCCCTCCTTGCCTTGTATTTATTAAGACTTTGGAAGATTTACAGACAAAAGACTTTGACATTTTTCCCTACCCACAGTGAAGGAGTGAACAAAAGAAGGCAAAAAAACCGGCTTAGTCTGGCTGCTTCTCTTCCACTGGGTATCAGTTTTCCTCCAGCAGGCAGATCGTCAGTTCATAAATTCTGCTTTCCTTGTGAACCCAGACACCATTGAGGGCACATTTCCAAAGCTTAAACAAGACAGTCAGTTGGACTTTTCTAAGCCAATTTAGGTGACCTGGAACCTCTCACCCGTCGTTTTAGATATTGTCTTGCTTACATGTGCCATTCTCAGGAAAACACTCTTAGCAACTGCTCTCAAACCACGCAGCAGTTCTATTGTGCCACTTTCAGCTAGACAGACATACAAACCAAATTGGGCTTTTTCTTTTAATACCACGACAGGTTCTAATTTAGCCCAAGCTCAGTATTTAATCAGTAGGGTATTTAGTTGATAGTTATTATGTTAGTTAATAACTCAAGTAAGATACAATTTCTCTAAGTATTACTGGCCAAAATGCTACCCTAGGGAGAAACAGAACCTCCTTTCCATATTTCTATGTGTGATGACAGGGATTTGCCCTTACAGATCTCCTATTCCTTATTAATTCAGCAAATATTTATTGAATATCTCCTGTGTGCACCAGGCACTTTGCTAGGAGGTCGTAGATTTGTAATCTCTGGGAAAAGGACATGAGTAGGGATATTGTCATCAGTGATCCTTAGGAAAACCTGGGGAGGTCTTAGGGAAGAGCAGGTAGGGTATGAGTATATGACTTTATGTAGGTAAAACATACTTAATTAAGTCAGGGTATATGTATATGAAAAAAATTTTTCAAATTTGCGGGCAAGTACAAGTGAATAATACAAACAATATGAATATTAAGAGAATAAATATATATATATATATATAAATATATATATATATATATATATTTTTTTTTTTTTTGGCTTTTTCGTGACCGGTAAGGGGATCGCAACCCTTGGTGCGGTGTCACCCGCACTGCGCTCAGCCAGTGAGCGCACTGGCCAGTCCTATATAGGATCCGAACCCGCAGCAGGAGCGCCACTGCGCTCCCAGTGCCGCACTCTCCCGAGTGTGCCACGGGGCCGGCCCTAAGAGAGTTAATATTAAGTAGAATTAATCAGAAAGTTTATGAAAGGTAAATTTGAGGCAAGGTTGGAGAAGTTATTCCAAGTGGTATCATTCAATCTTCATGTCAGTGACCAAACTAACCTGCTTATCCACTAAACCAGACAGTCAGTGGGACTGTCCAGTGATACCAGGGTTCTCAAAATCTTGAGTTGTTTTATTCTTTCTTCAAATTGTGTCTGTTCTATTCCTTCCTGTTCTTCCTGCCACCACCCTTATTATGCTTGGATTCCTCCAGTCTTCTAACTGGCTTCCTTGACTAATCTCTTATTCTAATCCATCTTGCCTACTATTGAAAAGGCAGTCTTCCTTAAATTCTACTTCTCTGGTCAAAATCTGTCATTATCTTCCTATTTTCTCTTAACGTAAGGCTATTTATACCTGGATTTTCAGGCTGTCCATAACCTAGTCCCATGGTACTCACCCAACTTGATATAAGACTTATATACCTACCTAATATGATTATCTTTTGACCTAGCTATACCTTTTTCTTCTTATCCACACAAGGTGCCCATACCCTGCTCCTCACTCTGTGCCTTTACCTGCTTTACTCCTCTTAGCCTCCAAATGTTCTCTTCTCTACCATCTAAAGCTATTCTCTAAGGCTCAACTGAAGTCCCACTTCTTGAAATCTTTCCTAACTACTCTGTCATTAATGTGTCTTTAATTTCTACAACAATTTTATTCTCCACTGCACATGGCACTTATTTTTGTACCCTATGATGCTGTTTGTGTATATTTTATTTTCTCAACTAGAAAATGTTCTCTTAATTCTCTAGGGCAAGAGCCATGTCTTATATTTGGACAATACTCTTATCCTTTCTCTCTCCTAAATATACACACAAGTGTATGCATGTAGCACCAAAATACATAGTAAGTATTCAGTAAACACTTGTTGATTTCTCAGGAATCATCATAGCAGGCTCAGGGTTTTCTTACATATTTTCAGGCTGTTTGTTCAGGAACTAGAACCACTTGAAGAGGCCACCTGGAAGATGAGGAATTAGGTTTAACACAGGAGAGCCTTTAAAATAAAAACCAGAAATGAGCATGAATAAGCAGTGTGCGGGACAAATTTGAGCCTCAGCTCAGAAGTCTAAAAGTCCCTCTTCTGCCATAGCCATGCCCTTAGCTGCTCCCTCCTGTTCCACTTGAGTTGTGATTTTGTGTGTGCCCTTACTGAAGTACACTCTAAGCATAAAGGATGATGTTACCTCTACTCACCCAAGGATGGAGGGAAAGTGGCTTTATCGTTAGCCAACCAAAGCTGCCAGAGAACCTTTTAAAACTATTTTGGGAGGTAGTGGTAACTTTCCCAAACACTCTGATTCAGAAGAGGTTTTGTTTAAATTTTTTTTAAAAATTATGTTGTTTCCATGGAAAATCCCTCTGGACTGTTTCCAATTGATCATGCTAGAGGAGCAGTTTTAACCCCAGGTCTCACTCCTTAAAATACCATTTAAACATTGTTCTATTTATTTCATTCAGTCTAGTAGTTTGGGGTATGAGATGAATCCCTGAGGCCATTAGAATATGAAGGAAAACCATCATAATAGAGTTAGGATCAGGTAACAAGATTCAACTCTAGAAAATGCAGGATGGGGAGAAAAAAGCTCAAATCTAAAGTTCAAGTTGCTTGGGCCAGCCCGTGGCTCACTCGGGAGAGTGTGGTGCTGACAACACCAAGGCCACGGGTTCGGATCCCATATAGGGATGGCCGGTTAGCTCAATGGGTGAGCATGGTGCTGACAACACCAAGTCAAGGGTTAAGATCCCCTTACCGGTCATCTTTTTTTAAAAAAAATAAAATAAAGTTCAAGTTGCTTGAAAAGTTCCCATGGGTTACCAAGAGCCTTCCTCTTTCCAAGGCAGAATTACTGTGTTTAAGAGATTCGTGCAGCCCCTGCGGGAATATTTTGGCTGGCAAATCTAAATCCAAATATCCTGGTTTCCGGAATTTGCTCTAGGCCCAGGTCTGTGAAATGAGCTCTATTGTTTGCAGTTTCCTTTTTTAATTCATAATCTTGCTGTCTTGTTCTCCAGCCCCTAGAATTGCCTGTAATCCTTTCAGAAGGTAACAGACCCTTACCTCATTGACCACTCAAAGACAAGGCCTCTTTTCTTATTTGGTAGCGTCAGTAAGCAAATTCAACTATCTGATCTTCAGTTTCTTCTCATCAGATTTTAACATCCGTCTGCTTATTATACCTGCTCACTTCAGAACTAACAGGAAGTAAGTTTAAAAAGAAAACATTGCTTAACTGTACTTTATTTTCAAATCAGGAGGTTTCACAAAGCTTCACCTGTGTAGGTAGTTTTGTTTTGTTTGGTTTGGGGGTGAAGGAATTAAGACCAGAACTACGAGAAAGGTGAGTACGGGGATAGTCACACAACAAGACATTGTTCTGTCTTCCCCCTGCTGGCTTGGAGGCAACACAGCACAGACACCCTCTGGTGGCCTAGCACCAAACCTTCACCTACTAGGGCTCCATAAAAGCAAATTTACACTAACACAGAGACTCTCTATCTCCAAATAGAAGAATAAAAATGCATTCTCTGTATACTATCAAGTTTTAATTTCAAGTCAAAACTAAAACAGAGTTTTCTTTTCTTTTCATGTTTACAGATCAAACTCCTACTCCGACTAGATTCTTGAAGAACTGTGAGGAGGTGGGGCTCTTCAATGAACTAGCTAGCTCCTTTGAACATGAATTCAAGAAAGCTGCAGATGAGGAAGAGAAAAAGGCAAGAAGTGGGACTTTTGCCAAAAAACTGGTGGTTTTCATACCTAGACTATTTTCATTGCACCTTGAGATAATTTGCTTAATTGGTTAAAACACAAAATCAGATAGTACTCACTAATCATAGTCAACCATCCAGGTCTTTAGGGAGTCCAGATGATGGATCAGCACAAATTTGTCTTCACCAGAATTCAGTCCTCCTGTCCTTCCAGTGGAACATTAGTTCAATAATATATTTTTTAAATTATTTCTTATGAATATGTTGAAGATGTTAAAAGATTATAAATTACTCAGATTTTGTTGCCAAATCCCACTCTTTTCTGAGCTGATCAGGCTTTTCACCTGGACTATTTTTATTCAATCAGCCAGTCAACAAACATTTATTGAATTTCCACTCTTCTTTGTTTCAGTATATATGATTCTTGCCTTCAAGTAGCTTTCTAGTACTATTCAAGTAACTATTAAAGTTAAAGAAGAATGTTCATTTTATTGCCTTTCAAAGGAGATCAACCAGGGTGGTAAAAGAACTAGAAATTAAGTCACTTCAGGAACCATTAAAGAAATTGAAGAAGTTTTGCTTGGAAAAGAGATTTAGTGTGAACAAAAACTGTAGTCTTCAAATACTTGAAGAGCTGTTGTGGATTAAATTATTATATCAGAGGGATTAAATTATTCTGTGTGGCCCAAAGGTAGAAAGAAGTAGGATCACTGAGTGGAAGCTCTCACAAAATGTGTTTTAATTATATGTAGGCCACTTAGTTGGGATATTGTAGAGAGGGTTAAAATGTTGGAATCCTTTCTAATCCTGAGGTGCTGTGGTTCTGATTTTAGCCTTTATATATTTCATATCCCTAGAAAATCCCTTAATTTGGAAGACTAGAGGAAATAGTTGAAGAAGCAGAGTCAAAGGAAGATTGTTCCTAATGGAATAAGGGGTTTGGGGGAAAAAGAAAAGTGGAAAGATCAAAGTTTACTTTAGAATTAGAATTCTAGGTTATTAGTCACTATTTAAAATCAGATCTGTGTTCCATAATAATTCATAAAAGATTCCAGTATCTCTATCCCAAAACATATGTATGTTAACACATGTACCTCACAATTGCATGGTATAGTGAGGCATGGAATCCCATCGGAATATAGAAAAGCCAGGACATAAGAAAAGGATTCTATGGGAGATCTTTCCTTCAAAGAGGGAGATAGCAGCTAAACCAAGATAGGTATGAGCTCAGTTGGTTAGAGCGCAGTGTTAATAATGCACCAAGGTCAAGGATTCAGATCCCTGTAGCCACGAGCAGCCAAGAAAGAAAAAAAAAAGGATAGTTATGCATGATATTTTCATCCAGCTTAAATTTAAAAATGTGAGATAAAGTGTCTTTATCGCTGGAGTTCTTTCCAAATTCCTTTGCTTTCTGTCAGCTTTTATTCATGCTATTTCCCTCAAACTAAAAGAAAGCAGGGAAACTCAGTTGCATATATTTGTAGTTTTACTTTCAAATAACAGAATTAGCCACAGTCTTCTTATCATTCTTTTTTCATTAGAGACCCATGTCTCTCATTTCTCAGTTGCCTCAACCTATACGGTATAATTTTATTTTACAGCTTACCTATGTCACCTCCCCTGTCATTCTCCCCTCCCCTAAAACAAAGAAAGTAGTCAATTTATTTCCACCAGGATGTGAGGGATTTTATGCCAAACTCATTATAGGCAAATTCAAGAAAATTAGCCTCCCTTAAAAAGCTTCAAGTCTTTTCCACTGTCATTTTAGCTCAGTTGACACGTAGAGGCCAGTTCACAGTTGTTTAGGCCTCTATTAGTCCGTTTCTGTTGCTTATAACAAAATACCTGGAACTTGGTAATTTACAAAGAAAATGAAATTTATTGCTTACAGTTTCAGAGGCTAGGAAGTCCAAAGGCCTGGGAACACCTCTGGTGAAGGCTTTCTTTGGTGGTAACTTCAGTGACCACGAGATATCATGCTGCAGAATGGCAGAGGAGAGAGAGCAGAGACTAACCTCCTCATTCACTCTCTTTAAAGCCCTCAGATCCACGCCCATGACCACCATTTTTAATCCATTCACTATGGCATGGTCCTACAATCTAACCACCTCTTCAAGGCCCCACCTTTCAATTACCATAATAGGATTTCCCATCCTCTTAACAGTCCCAGTGGGGGCCAAGTTTCTTATACATAAAACTTGGGGGACACAATTCAAACTTCAATGAGTTTGGCAGGGGCGGGGGGGGAACATTCAACCCCTAAGTTCCAGGGGGAACTTTCCACTCCTGCTCAAAAAACTCATTCCTTTCACATGCATATACATTCATTTCATCCCCAAAGTCTTGTTTTCACTCAAAAGTCCAAAGTTCAACATCCCATCTGTGAAATCAAAAACAAGTTACCTACTTCCAAGATACAATGGTGGGACAAACATAGGGTACATATTCCCATTCAAAAAGGGAGAAATAGGTCAGAAGAAAGGGGTAACAGGCCCCAAACAAGTCTGAAATCCAGCAAGGCAAGCATTAAATCTCAAAGCTGGCAAATCATGTACCTATGTTTGACATCCTCTGCATGCTGGTGCAGGGGTTGGGTCCCCAAGTCCTTGGGCAGCTCTGCTTCTATGACTTTCCTGGTCTCAGGTGATGCTTTAGCTTTTGCAGGCTGGCATTGCACACTGGTAGCTGTACAAGTTTGGGATCTTCATAGCAGTCCTGCTCCCATGGCTCCACTAGGCATGGTACTGATGGGGTTTCTCTGCTGCAACTCTGACCCCACATTTCCATTCAGCATTGCTCTACAGAAAGCTCTATGCAGTGAATCCACCCCTGCAACAGATCTCTTCCTGGGCCCCCAGGCTTTTCTATCCATCATTTGAAATCAGGATGAAGGCTTCTAATCCTACACAGCTCTGGCATTATGCAAGCCTGCAAACTTACCATGTGAACATCACCCAGGCTTCCAGCTTATATTTTCCAAAGCTGCAGGTCCACCCACACCTGGGGCCAATTTAGCCATGGCTAGAGCAGCCAAAGCAGCTGGGGTGCTGCTGCTGAAAGCAGCTTCCCAAGGTGGCCCTGGGCAGCGAGCCTGTGGAGGGCACCTCAGGCCTGTTCCGCAAGACCGTTTTGTCTCCCTAGGCCTTTGGGCCTGAGATGGAAGGGTTGGCACCAGAGGCTTCTGCAATGTCTCCAGAGGCTTTCCCCCCTTCTCTTGATGATTCCTTTCTTTTGTACTAATCTTCTTAGACCATTGCATTTTTCTGCTGAAAATGCTCTCTGCTGCTCTACCACAGAGCCAGACTACAAATTTTCCAAATCTTTACTCTCTGCTTTCCTTTTAAATTCTGACTTTATGTCATACCTTTGCCACCATAACAGCATAGGCTGTTGCAAATAGCCATGCAGCTTCCTGAATGCTTTGCTGCTTAGAAATTTCTTCCACCAAATACTCTGATTCACAACTCTTAAGTTCCAACTTCCACAAAGTCCTAAAGCATGGATCCAATGCAGCCAAGTTCTTTGCCAGTTCATAGCAAAGGTGATCTTTGCCCCAGTTTCCAATAAGTCCCTTCTCATTTACATCTGAGATCTTCTCAGAATTGCCTTTACTGGGGCCGGCCCATGGCTCACTCGGGAGAGTGTGGTGCTGATAACACCAAGACCACGGGTTCGGATCCCATATAGGAATGGCTGGTTAGCTTACTGGATGAGCGTGGTGCTAAAAACACCAAGTCAAGGGTTAAGATCCCCTTACCGGTCATCTTTAAAAAAAATAATAATTGCCCTTACTGTCCACATTTCTACCAGCATTCTGGTCATTGTCACGTAACCAGTCTCTAAGATATTCCAAACTTTCCCTGGTATTCTTGTCTTCTAAACTCCCACCAGCAGGTAGGCTTTTTCTACTCTGTTCCTTCAGATTCTTTTAGCCTGTCCTCAATACCCAGTTCCAAAGCCACTTCCACATTTTCAAGTGTTTGTTATAAGCAACACCCCACTTGTACCAATTTTCTATATTAGTCTGTTTCTGTTGCTTATAACACAATACGTGGAACTGGGTAATTTTTTTTTTTTTTAAAAGATGACCAGTAAGGGGATCTCAACCCTTGGCTTGGTGTTGTCAGCACCACGCTCAGCCAGTGAGCGAACCGGCCATCCCTATATAGGATCCGAACCCGCGGCCTTGGTGTTATCAGCACCGCACTCTACCGAGTGAGCCATGGGCCGGCCCTGGAACTGGGTGATTTAGAAAGAAAATGAAATTTATTGCTTATACTTTCAGAGGCTAGGAAGTCCAAAGGCCTGAGGATGCATCTAGTGAAGGCTTTCTCTGGTGGTGACTTCAGTGACCACAGGATATCACATTGCAAAGTGGCGGAACAGAGAGGGCAGAGACTAACCTCCTCATTCACTCTCTTTAAAGCCCTCAGATCCACGCCCATGACCACTATTTTTGGTACTACAATCTAATCATCTCTTCAAGGCCCCACTTTTCAATTACCGTAATAGGATTTCCTACCCTCTTAACAGTCCCAGTGGGGGCCAAGTTTCTAATATACATAAACTTGGGAAACACAATTCAGGCAAGGCCTTTCCTTATTGGGCATTTCTTGGTGTTTCTTCCTACCTGTACAGGAGTGGTCTTTACCTTCCCTTGATGAGAAGCACAGAGTCAATGCAATATTATCTCCAAGAGTGTTTAATGAGCCTGAAACTTTCCTGAACCACAGCTTTTCTAGGAAATGCCTCTAGGGGATTTTAAACCCATGGTTTTATTTACTTAGAGGCCTCTCCTTCCCACCAGTCTCTGACTTCAGAGATCTCAGGATTAGATAAATTGGACATGATGTTTTAGCAGTGTAGAAAAAATGAGGCAGAAATTAAACCATCTTTGCTGTTGCTCACCCTCATCAGATTGGGGAGAGAGAACTATTACCACCTTCTCTAATGCAGCAGACACCAGGTTATCTTTACTCAACTAGCTACCAAGAAGGTTTCTAGGGATGGAGGCAGCAAGGGAAGAGTTAGAAACAAGCTCCTTTCACCAAGGTACCTAGGATATGGAAAGAATAGAACAAAGGATCCACTTTGTCATGAAAGTGAACTGCAATGCCAACCCTCCTGTCATGGTGCAGTGTCAGGGACGTTATCTCAGATGATTTATTGTTCCCTGCAAGGCCATTTACAACTCCACAGTTCTGTGAGGCGATTGCACCACTGCCAGGAAAGTACTCTGGTTTTGTCCAGTCTTGCTCTTGAGACCAAGTTCTAATTTCACTGATCAGATGATAGCCTTTCCTTTCTTTGTTTCCCCAAAATCCTATCTGCCTGAAACTTACAGCCTCCAGCACCAAATTTTGGGGTGAGATCGCCATCAAGGATGGTGAGTTCTCCAGAAAAGACATTTCCTATCTTGTTTGCAGTATGTTAATAGCCAATTTGTCTTTGTTTGCTTTTGATAATTGGGTGTTCTAGTCATTCTGGTTGTCAGGGAAAGAGTTCACAGCTCTCCAGTGGCCAGCAGAGCTGGTTGGGAAAAGGCAGGTATTTGATTCGGGAATCATTTTATTTTTCTGAAAAAAAGATTATAATCATAATATTTGCATAGATTTAAATGACATTCTGGGCCGGCCCGGTGGCACACTCGGTAGAGTGTGGTACTTGGGAGCGCGGCGGCTCTCCTGCCTAGGGTTCGGATCCCATATAGAGACCGGTCCGCTCACTGGTTGAGCGCAGTGCGGGCGCGACACCGAGGGTTGCGATCCCATTACCGGTCACAAAAAAAGACAAAAAGGAAAAAAATAAATAAATAAATGACATTCTTTTTTTTTTTTCCAGGTCTTTATAAGTATTTGCTTAATAGTGGTGAAGCAGGTGTTAACTTCATTTTATAGTTAGGGAAACAGAAGCCCAAAACATAGGACCTGCATTGCTTTAACTTGCAGTTCAGTGCTTTGACCAAGGGCTGAACTTCTTAGAAGCATGTTATTTCATCTTGTAACTGTAAAGGTATAGATTCAAACCTAAAGGGAATCATGAGGTTGAAATCTGTTCATTTTTCTTTCATAACAGGCTGCTGCTGGGCCCCTTGACATGTCTTTGCCTTCCACACCAGACATCAAAATCAAAGAAGAAGAGCCAGTGGAGGTAGACTCCTCTCCAACTGATAGCCCTGCCTCTAGCCCCCGTTCCCCACCACTGAAGGAAAAGGTAAAATTCTCTACCAAGGGTCATCCCAAATGTTAATTGATAGATTTGACTAATTAGTTTGATTCATTAGTTATATAAATACTGTGTGATATAGGAGGATTGATTGTATTTAAAGGAATGCTAATTTAGAAGATTTATGTAAAATACACCTATTCTCTCATCAGCAATTCTACTTCTCAGACTACAGGGAAGAGAAATTAGTGCATATGTCTACCAAAAGAAGTATGTAGGAATGTTCATGGCAGTTGTAATCATTATAGCCAAAAAAAAAAAAAATATAGGGATGGCCGGTTTGCTCACTGGCTGAGCGTGATGCTGACAACACCAAGTCAAGGGTTAAGATCCCCTTACCGGTCATCTTTAAAAAAAAAAAAAAAAAAACTGGAAACATTCCAAATGTCCATCAAGAAAAGAATGAATAATGGGCCGGCCCGGTGGCGCACTGCTACAGTGCGCCGCTTGGGAGTGCGGTGGCGCTCCCGCCGAGGGTTCGGATCCCACATACAGACCAGCCGCTCACTGGCTGAGCGAGGTGTGGGGGCAACACCGAGGGTTGAGATACCGTTGCCGGTCCCGGTCCGGTACAGGTGCAACACTGCGGGTTGCGATCCGTTGCCGGACACGAAAAAAGACAAAAAGGAAAAAAAAAAAAGAAGAAAAGAATGAATAAATTGTTATATATTTCTGAAACAGAATGTTACATGGCATTAAAGAAGAACCAGGGGTGGCCGGGTAGCTCAGTTGGTTAGAGCACAGCCTTATAATACCAAAGTCAAGGCTTTGTATCCCACACTGGCCAGCTAAAAATAAGTAAATTAACTTAATTTAAAATAAACAATAATGAACTAACAATTACACAGTGATGTGGGTGAATCTCACAAACATTATATTGAATAACAACAAAAAAAGTTAGACACAAAAGTACATGCTATATGATTTCACTTACTAGAGGCAAAACTATTTTGATGATGCTAGAACTCAGAATAGTGTTTACCTCTTGTGACGGAAGGGTATGGATTGGGAAGGGACACGGGAGAACCTTCTGTGCTAGAAATAGTCTCTATCTTGATTTTACGTATGTAAAAAGTCATTTCATTGTAATGACTAATTTTTTATTTTTTATTTTTTTAGGAAAGCATGGATAATTTAATGACTGATTAATGCACTTTATGTATGTTATACTTCAAATAATAAATGAAAAAGAAAAATTTACATACATCATAAATTGGACATTAAACATAGAAAAACGTCTTCTAAAAAGAAGAAAAAGGAAAAAGTCTTCTAAGGGGGCAGTGACTCAAAGGGAATATCTACTAGGATTTTTCTTATTATTATTATTAAAGGAAACTTTTTATGAAGTATTATTTTTTATAAATGTATTGAGTATAGTGCACTTACAGAAAAGTACATAAGTTGTAATATACAGCTCACTGAATGTCCGCAAAGTTAATAGCCTATGTAACCAGCACCCAGATCAAAAACAGATATTATCTGGGGGCTGGCCACTTAGCTCAGTTGGTTAGAGTATGATGCTCATAACTTCAAGGTTCAATCCCTGTACCAGCCAGCCACCAAAAGAAAAAAAAACAAAAAAAACCCAGATATTATCAGAACCTCAGAAGCCCTCTTATGCCTCCTTCCATCCAGTCTCTACTGCTCTACCAGTGGTTATTAATTTTAACCACTTGAAATCTTTGGAGAAGCATTATAGTACCATATAAATTCTAGGGATTGCTATAATTTTTCACAGTCCAGATGCTGTATGGATAAGGCATCTGTACTGTATCTTACTTCCCTCCAAATTTAGCTGGATAACCTCTCAAAACTACCATCTCCAAAAACATTACAACTATCCCCCACCACTGCCCCTTTCATCAACAACCAAGTCATAGAGACTGTCTGAAGATGCTTTCAAGGCCAGTATGGCCCTGGCAGTGTAAGATCCTAAAAACTTAATAGTTAGAAGAAGTTTTTAAAAATTACAATATGATCATTATTCAAACTTCCATAGACCTTTTTTTAAGGGGTCTATAGGAGATGTTAGGTTGCCTTATCACCAGTATACCTGCTTTTTCCCACTGGAGGTCAGAGGACACCTGGGTATCAAGTTTAGAATGAGAGTATCTGGATTGTGAAAAGTTAAAACAATCTCTAGAATTTATATGTTAATACAGTGCCTCTCCAAAGATTTCAAGTGATTTTTTTCCATCTGTCATCTTATTTATATGGTCATCATCTCTGAAAGGGAGATTGCCAAGAGATCTTAACTCAGCATTCCTACTGACTGAATGGGTGAGTGAGGTATGGTCCATGATCGTGATGGAATCAGGTCATGATTTATATAAGTGGCCCTAATGCTCTTTCCAATAAATTTGTGCTAGATTTTACCATCTATGTATTTCCCTAAAAGCAGCTTTTAAAGCATTTTGTGATCTGTTTGTCTCTTTTCCCCAGGAGGTTGCCCCAAAGCCTGTTGTGATCTCTACCCCTACACCCACCATTGTACGTCCTGGCTCCCTGCCTCTCCACTTGGGCTATGATCCACTTCATCCAACCCTTCCCTCCCCAACCTCCGTCATCACACAGGCTCCACCATCCAATAGGCAAATGGGGTAAGTAAGAGCAGGAAAAAACAGTGAAGGCTGAATCTCATTCCACTTTGTGAAGTTATTTGATAAAACAGGAACTGTTTTTGAATACCCAAGGAAAACGAGTCACTGAGATTATCTCTCAAAGTAAATATTTCCCCCATAAACAGAATCTCCTTTACCTTTTTAGTAGACAAGCAAATATTTATTTGGGGATAATACTTCCTTAATTTGCAGGGTTAATACTTCTTCAGTTTAAAAAGAAGGATCCTTAAGTCTTTAAGAAGTTTATCACAGTGGTGGAGGCCACACAGTAGAAGTATATTTAGTTCTTGGCCTCACTCCTATAGGGGCTGAAAACCATTGAGTCATTTTCTTTGAGTCTCATGTTCCCCTTAGTCCCAGTTAGGGTTCTTGGTCTTTGCTGTCCCTAATTTTGTTTGTTTATTTGTCTTCACTCCTGACATGGCCCATACAGATTTCCTGATGGGATGACCTGAGATCCTGTCCCCAGGTACCCCTGGGTTAAGAGATTGTTGTAAGGATTCAGCTTCTTAGAGATTATTGTTCTCTGGATCCAGTAGGAAAAATAAAAAGAGACAGCTTCTTTTTTGGGTAGGGTAGAGCAAAACGTGAAAAGGAACAAAAGAGTTATTCAGATTTGGTCATCATATGACATAATTCATCTTTGCAAAATGACAACTTTGACCCAACTCCCCCTTGCCTAAGGCAGGATGGAATTTATACATGTCCATGCTAGGGCTGTTTATTTAATTGTTCTAAACCCTTAAAAGGATTAGCTTCCTACTGTTTCAGTTTGTTTAATTTTGCCATTTCTCTCCATTTGTAAGGTAAGTAGCTTTCCCTGCTTTTCCCACCTTCATGAGGGTATCAGGACTTTACAGTGCTGCCCTATACCTTCTCTAACAGGGAAGACTGGAAAATCTACTATAATTATATAGGAGGAAGATCCATAGGCAAAAAGTCTGTATTGTGAGCATTTCATTTCATGTTTCCTCTAGGTCTCCCACTGGTTCCCTCCCTCTTGTCATGCATCTTGCTAATGGACAGACCATGCCTGTGCTGCCAGGGCCTCCAGTACAGATGCCTTCTGTTATATCGGTGAGCTCTGTAGTTGGGGCAGACAGCCCAACTAACATGATAATCCCTCCCTCCCACCCGAATGGTCATAAACACACATGAGCTCCAGGGAAATATGGGCTCTGATCTGTATTAGTTGAAAATGGCAGCCTGCCCAAACTCTTCACTAACCTCTGCCAATCCAGCACTATGGAACAGTAGACAAAGACTCATCTGGACAATTGGCTCCCGGTCTAGGAATTGATCTTGCCAGCCCGCTGATTAGTTGATTTCACTTGGCACATAGCAGCTCCTAAATTGCCCACCACTTTCCTCAAGATACAGCCCTAGCTGTTCCCACAGAAATTATCCCAGCCCTGAAAGATTAGATTCCCTAACCTGTCCTGCTCCACAGGTGAAGGTATTTCCCAGGCTGTCCCTGCATGCCCTATGGGCAGGTTGCACAGAAACGGGCCCTGACATGCCAGTCTCAAAAGCATTTCATTGGGAAAACTGATGCCCCACCAATAGTATTATGTGCCCTTCTGGTTTTTCTTCTTTCTCTTGATCCAGCTGGCCAGACCTGTGTCCATGGTGCCCAACATTCCTGGTATTCCTGGCCCACCAGTTAACAGTAGTGGCTCCATTTCTCCCTCTGGCCACCCTATGCCATCAGAAGCCAAGATGGTGAGTACATCCTAGCCTAGGGCAATGTTGGCCCTTCTGAAAGAAGTGATATCAGCCTAGGTTTTCCAAGTGAGCCAAGCAAAGGAACCTTCTGGGACTTGCAAAGCTAAGGACACACTGCTTTGGGGTCTGGAAAAGAAAAGACCTCGATTCATTACTCCCATCTCTTCTCCACACCTTTAGAGCCTGGTACATGGACCATGGCAGTGAAAAGAGGCAGCACAGATTGTTTGGAATGGAACACTTGCCATTTTAGTTCCAGGGTGACAGATGGAGGGTGCATGAGTGGGCAGGGGAGCTGGCCAAGAGGTGAATAGCTGCGTAACAAGCGTCTGGCCAGAATCCAAGAGAGAGCTTTCATCAGGACTCTATTGCTTCAACAATCTCCTCCCCCCAACTGTGCCCAGGATGATAGCCAGGGAACAGAGTAGGCATTTTAGGGATCCAGGTGCACATTTTCTCTCCCTGTCATTTTCTTTTTGATTCATCCGTTAAGAGAAAATTGGAGTGGAAATTTTAGCTGTCTGTAAGGTCAATAATAAAATATAAGCCCACTCTTCTCATCCTTGATAGAATCTCACCCTTAACAAGCTATTGTTATCTTTCCCCACAGAGACTAAAAGCCACCCTAACCCACCAAGTCTCCTCAATCAATGGTGGTTGTGGAATGGTGGTGGGTACTGCTAGCACTATGGTGACAGCCCGTCCAGAGCAGAGCCAGATCCTCATCCAGCATCCTGATGCCCCATCCCCTGCCCAGCCACAGGTCAGTTGGGCCCTTAGATGGGGAACCATCTATGTTGCCCTTACTTTCTATGTCATATCTATTTTTCAAGGAGCAGAAAGTTAGAGAAGAATGGATTTCAGCTTTCTGTGTATCTTCCTGCTACTTTGGGTCTTGTTGACAGTTTGACTACAGCAGAACACATCATTCTTTATCCGCTATCCACCCTTGTTAGACTTACAGGCAAACATAATGAATAATGCAGAACTGTTGCAAAGGAGGTCTCAGTTTCTAGGTTTTTTCATACGTGAATGATAGTTTAGTATATCTGCAGGATCCTCTAAAATGTGACAATCTCACTTCAAGCCGCATTATGCACTAAACAAAGGAGGCTCTCCTAGTCTCTTTTGTATCTGTTAAGTCTTACCAACAAACAAATAACTTACCTGATTAGATTTTACAACAAAAATCAGATAATAACAATATATTAATAAAATGTGATATTACAGTATTGACAGCTTAGTTAAAAAGACACAAAACAAACTCTTCTCATTACCAATTCATTCCATTTTTATCACAAAGAAATTAAAATCCTCGGGCTGAGCCCGTGGCGCACTCGGGAGAGTGCGGCGCTGGGAGTGCAGCAGCGCTCCCACCGTGGGTTCGGATCCTATATAGGGATGACTGGTGCGCTCACAGCACTCACTGGCTGAGCGCGGTGCGGCCGGTCTCAAAAAGGACAAAAAAAAAAAAAAAATCCTAAAAAAACCAAAGGGGTCACACTTATTTGCCCAATTCTGAAAGAGATCTCAGTTTTAACAAGATTCTTTGGAAATTGCATAGTCCTTGGTTTTCATATTGTCTGTACTGGATAGGTGATAACAACTTGAGATTGGTTTCTAGAATTTTATTCTTTGTCCAGCCCCTTTTTTCCTGATGTCACCACCTGCTGCATCAGTTACCACCACATGTCCAAACATTTTGTAGCCATATGCTGCCTTAAAGCTTGGCCAACAACAAAAGCTTTCATTTGAGTTTTCTTGTTGGAAGTTAAGCCAGCCCCCCTTCCTGTAACCCCCACTGAAGCCAGTCCTGAAGATGGTAAAGCAGCAGGCTCCCTGCTTGAGATGTGCTGCATTCTTCTTGGAGAAATAACATGGTTTCCATTTTAGTCACCACTGGTTCCATTCTTTCTCATTCTTCCCTTCTTTGTCTTGGCCTGTTCTTTCACCTCCATTCCCTGCATAAGTTACTGCATTGCCTGTGAGAGCAAAGGAACCTGTTCTTTCCTTTCCCCCATCCTCCTCTTAAAGCACTAATCTTTACATGTGCTGCAATGAGCTCAAGACAAAGAGGAAGTTGAAATTCTCAGGAGAATTATTGTAAATTTCTTGAAGAAAGCATTTTCCCTTAGTACAGTGAGAAACAATGACCCAAGCCCTCTAGTTCATTAAGTTGGGTTTGAAGTTTCCTCTCCATTTTTTTCTTTTGGGGAAGATAATATCAGTCTGAATAAATAAAATCATCTCTTGGCTGGCCAGTTAGCTCAGTTGGCTAGAGCATGGTATAATATCACCAAGGATAAAGGTTTGGATCCCTGTACCAGCCAGTCACCGCCACCCCCCCAAAAAAAATTATCTCTTGATTATCTATATTAATGGAGAACATAATTCAGTAGGGCCTGAGGTGGGTACAAGATTCTTTTTTTTTTATAAACTCATGCTTACTTTCATGAAATTGATGTGAGCGCTGGCATTTGAGAAATACTAACATAGATATTCCTTAATAGTGATAGATCTGAGAAAAATTTACTTTTGCATTGTTTTACATTATATAGTTTCTTCTCTACAGATGGTTGACCTTTTTACATTATTTGAAATGTTGGCCACTATTATATAATTGGTCTGCCTTCTCTGAACACATACCAGCTAACGGAAAGGGAAGGTGATCCAAAAGTTTTTGGTGGAAAAAAAAAGTATTTTGGTGACAAAGGAGTTCAGCCTGAAGTTTATAAACAAAAGACAGTTGTATATCACCAATTTGTAAAGGGATTAAACTTTTTTCTCTGTTTTTTTTTTTTTTAAAGATGACCGGTAAGGGGATCTTAACCCTTGACTTGGTGTTGTCAGCACCACGCTCACCCAGTGAGCAAACCGGCCATCCCTATATGGGATCCAGACCTGTGGCCTTGGTGTTATCAGCACCACACTCTCCCAAGTGAGCCACTGGCTGGCCCCTTTTTTTCTCTGTTTACAAACAAAGAAAAAGCAGAGAGTTTACTGAGGATGATTAATATCTGATTATAAATAAAAAAGAATATATTAATCCATATTTCCAAATAATAGCTCATATCTCCCCATAGTAGTTCATATCTCACTGGTAGTGAAATAAATAAAAACATTTTTTCTCCTTTTCTGAAACCTGATACAGCATGCAATTGTTTGTACATATTGTTTGTCCAAATCAGTGATTCTCAAACTTTTTTATTTCACAGTCTCCCTAAAAGGTCCCCTGACACCCTTCCTTGATTCCGATATCCCTGCCTACGAGATTCCCTCTAGAGGAATAAAAAGTGATCTTAGATTTATTTTGTCTGTCTGTCTCAGAAATAATCAGAGTTTCCAACTGAACTGTGGTTTGTCTAAAAATGGGATGTAGGGGGCTGGCCAGGTGGCGCACTGCTACAGTGCACCGCTTGGGAGCGCAGCGGCACTCCCACCGAGGGTTCAGATCCCACATACAGACCGGCCACTCACTGGGGGGCGGTTGCAATCCCGTTGCCGGTCCCGGTCCAGTACGGGCGCGACACTGAGGGTTGCGATCCGTTGCCGGTCCCGGTCCAGTACGGGCGCGACACTGAGGGTTGCGATCCGTTGCCGGTCCCGGTCCAGTACGGGCGCGACAGTGAGGGTTGCGATCCGTTGCCGGTCACGAAAAAAGACAAAAAGGAAAAATAAAAAAAAAATGGGATGTAGAATGAGGAGCTCCTACAAAAGAGCAGCTAAAGGGACATAGTGGTGAGAACGTGCTGTGGTTACCAGAGACTGGTACATCTCTTTACCAGATCTCGCTAATCTACGCAATGTCAGGATTGATTTGGAAAGGACTGATGTTCCAATCAAGTAACTCCTCTTCCTTCCTGGGCAACAGGTCTCACCAGCCCAGCCCACCCCTAGTACTGGGGGGCGTCGGCGGCGCACAGTGGATGAAGATCCAGATGAGCGGCGTCAGCGCTTTCTGGAGCGCAACCGGGCTGCAGCCTCCCGCTGTCGCCAAAAGCGGAAACTCTGGGTGTCCTCCCTAGAGAAGAAGGCAGAGGAACTCACTTCTCAGAACATTCAGCTGAGTGTGAGTGGGTCCTGGATGATTACTGGTATTGTTGAATCTGGAAAGTAAATTGAATCAGAAAAAAGTGGAACAGATGGTAATTCTTTAATTAGGACAGATCCAGAAATTGTGCCAGGAAAAATGCAGAAAGAATTTCTTAACAGAGTTGAAATCTCTTCCCTAGGGATTGGGAAAGACACTCACCACCTACCCCCAAATCTGTTACTAGAATGACTCATCCATAGACCTATTTGGATGAAGAAAATTAGATTAAGGATCCCAGGGTGCTGTTTTAAATCATTAGTAGAATCTGACTGGGGTCATAGAAAACCCAAAGGGAAATGTTTTTGCCTCAGATAATGCAGCTTAATAAAACAAAGAAAGAGAAAACCACCCTGAGCACAAATAGAACAGTTATAATTCAGACATTCTCTTGAATATTATTTTCCCTTCATCTGATTATATATTTAAATATGGAATTAAAAAGGTAATATATGAACACATTTCTATTATAAAATATAAACACACACAGATGTATAGAATAAAAACAGTCTCTCTTTAATCTTCCTTTCCCAGTCCCATTCTCTTCCCTGTAGATAAATTTGGTAAGTACCTTCCAGACATATTCATATTTCTAAATATTTTTTCATTTATAGTTTTTGTGTTGGAGTTGGAGGGATTGTGAGTTTAACATTAATGGGTTAATAGTATCTTCTGTAGATCTAGCCAAGATTTGGTGGATCTACCTCATTTAAGTAGCTGTGTAGGGCTGGCCAGTTAGCTCAGTTGGTTAGAGCGCACTGTTAAAACACCAAAGTCAAGGATTCAGATCCCCGTACAGGCCAGCCATGCAAATAAATACATAAATAAATAAGTAAATAACTGTATAGTAGTATATTCCGTAATGCGGTTACATTATAAGGTATGAATGTTACATTATAAGGTAATTTTTTGCTAGAACGGCAATGCTGCAGTGAACATTTAACAGTTAAATAGATTCCTAGAAATAGGCTTTCTTATTAGTCAAAGAGCATATGTATTATTAATTTTGGTATAATCATATTTATCCTAAATAGGAGTAATTTTTCTATTATAAATTCCTACTTTTCACTGTAAGCAGCTCCTGTCATTGAATTCATGACTATACTGTCCCGGGCTTTCTGAATCCTTGTTGGATCAGGAGTCTTGTCCCAATTTGGTGGAGAAAATCCAGGCAGCATTGTTTCTCATTTTGGGAATAGCCACTGGGGGTTTAAGAGTGGAGGATGAATATTTTTGATGCTCTTTTCTTCCCTCCTTCCTCAGAATGAAGTCACATTACTACGCAATGAAGTGGCTCAGTTGAAACAGCTACTGTTAGCTCATAAAGACTGCCCAGTCACTGCACTACAGAAAAAGACTCAAGGCTATTTAGGTGAGTGGTTCACGACCTAAGCACAGTCAGTAAACTGCACATACTGAGAGTCTTATTAACTCTTTATGATTTTATAACCTATCCTGAATGTTCTGGAGACTCCAACTCCAGATAAGTGAGTAACCCTTGTGGAGCAAACAGTCCTAAAAAAAAAAAAAAAACTTTTGACAACAATATAAAGTTATCCTTTCTATCACAGTTGGGGATGAAGGGTAGCAATATTTATTAGGTGCCTATTATGCGTTAGGCACTCTACCATCTTCCCAATTCTCTCATGAAATAGATATTACCTCCATTTATTTATTTATTTATTTATTTATTTTTGTCCTTTTTGAAACCGGCCGCATCATGCTCAGCCAGTGAGCGCTGTGAGCGCACCGGTCACCCCTATATAGGATCTGAACCTGCGGTGGGTGCGCTGCTGCGCTCCCAGCGCCGCACTCTCCCGAGTGCGCCACGGGCTTGGCCCTACCTCCATTTATATGTGAGAAAACTGCACTTAGGTCACTTACCTAAAGTTACACAGCTGGTAAAATGGTAGAACCAAGATTTACATCCAGGTGTTTCTCAATCTAATGACACTGTCTTGGCCTAAAGAAAATAAAAACAGCAGGTTATATATTGGGATTTGTTAAACATTGGGATTTGGGGGTATATTTTACCTTTCTAATCATAGGCTGATATTGTTTTTAGTTTGGAATCAATGAGCATACATAAAATATTGCTAGAAAGAGATGGCCACAGAGTTGTGCTCACAACAAGCATAATTCTGAAGTTAAAATTACTGTGAATAATTTGCTTATAGACAGTAAAAGCTAATAAATGGTAGTTTTTCTTTACAAATAAAATAAATTTATAGAAATGTTGGCTATCAAATTTTGATGTTATTTTTCCATTAACTGTGTGTATCATTTCAGAGATGTGTTCCCATAGAAAAGATTAACCACATCACCAATTGTATTTATTCATTTTTTAAATGAGTTTTAAACTTTTTTTTTTTTAGCAGTTGCCCAGTACAGGGAACCAAACCCTTGACCTTGGTGTTACAAGGCTGTGCTCTAGCCAACTGAGCTAACCAGCCAGCCCCACGTCACCAGTTTTAAACACTTCTATTTAAATTTTAATTTTTATTAAAATTAGGTTACATTAGTAAAAATTAGGTTACATTTAGTAAAATCAGGTTACATTAATTCATTAAGCAGGTATTGATTGAGTGCCTATTCTGTGTCAGGCACTGTTTTACATTCTGGGGATATAATATGAAACCAAATAGATTAGATTAAATCCCTGCCCTTGAGGAGCTTATATTTCAGTAGGTGAGACAGACAATAAACAAGATAAATAGGTAACATATATGGTGTTTTAGATAATAGGAAATGCTAGAAGAAAAAATAAGACAAGCAGGGTAGTATGAAATATTGGCAGCAGGATTACAATTGTAGATGAGGTGCTTTTGAATAAAGGCCTGAAGGAAGTGAGGGAGCTAGCCACGCATTTATATGGAAGAAAAGTACTACAGGCATGAGGAACCACAAACGCAGCTAAGACCCAAGGTGGGAGTATGCCTGGTACATCCTGGGAACATCAAGGAGGCTAGTGTGGCTGGAGTGGAGAGAATCAAGGGCAGAGAGTAATTAAGATGAGGTAGGGGAGGTAATGGGAGCACTATATGTAGGCTGTCCTCAGTCATAGTGAAGATCTCAGCTTTTACTCTACATACTCTACGTTGGAGGCCATTAGAGGGTTTTCAGCAGAGCAGTGACATGACTGATCTGACTTATTATGAACAGTATCACTCTGCTAGAGACATCAGGGGTGTACAGACAGAAGCAGGCAGTCCATTTAGGAGGCTATTGCAATAATGCAAGAGATGATGGAGGCTTGGACCAGGATAGTGGTAGTGAAAGTGGTGAGAAGGGGTTGAATTCAGGATATATTTTATTTTATTTTTTTATTTTATTTTATTTTTTTTTAAAGATGACCGGTAAGGGGATCTTAACCCTTGACATGGTGTTGTCAGCACCACGCTCACCCAGTGAGCTAACCGGCCATCCCTATATGGGATCCGAACCTGTGGCCTTGGTATTATCAGCACCGCACTCTCCCGAGTGAGCCACGGGCCGGCCCTAGGATATATTTTAAAGATAAAGCAACAGGGCTTAGGGCCGGCCCTTGGCTCACTTGGGAGAGTGCGGTGCTGATAACACCAAGGCCATGGGTTCGGATCCCTATATAGAAATGGCCAGTTAGCTCACTTGGGAGAGTGCGGTGCTGATAACACCAAGGCCATGGGTTCGGATCCCTATATAGAAATGGCCAGTTAGCTCACTTGGGAGAGCATGGTGCTGACAACACCAAGTCAGGGTTAAGACCCCTTACCAATCATCTTTAAAAAAAAAAAAAAAGCAACAGGGCTTGATAATGGGCCAAGTAGGGTGGTATATACAAGAATAAGAAGAACCAATCATTGCAACAGAGGGCTAGTTGTTTAGGTGTGGTGTTGATAATACCAAGTTCCAGGGTTTGATCCCCGTACTGTCCAGCCACCAAAAAAAGAAAGAATTGCATCAAAGTTTTTGGCCTAAGCATCTGTTAAGAATGGAGTTGTAATTAATCAAGACAAGGGATAATGTAGGAGGAAATGGTTTGGGAGGTATATCAGGAATTCAGTTTCAGACAAGCTGAATTTAAGAAGCCTGTTAGGGGCTGGCCGGTTAGCTTAGTTGGTTAGAGTGCAACCTTATAATACCAAGGTCACGAGTTCGGATTCCGGTGCCAGCCAGCCACCAAAAAATAAAGAAAGAAACCTATTAAGATGTCAAGCTGGGGGGCCAGCCCGGTGGCGCACTCGGTAGAGTGCAGCGCTTGAGAGCGCGGTGGCGCTCCTGCCGAGGGTTCGGATCCCATATAGAGACCGGTCTGCTCACTGGTTGAGTGCGGTGCGGGCACGACACCGAGGGTTGCGATCCCGTTGCCAGTCACAAAAAAAGGCAAAAGGAAACAAAAAAAAAATGTCAAGCTGGGGCCTGCCCATGGCTCACTTGGGAGAGTGTGGTGCTGATAACACCAAGGCCGTGGGTTCGGATCCCTATATAGGGATTGCTGGTTAGCTGTCATGGGAGAGTGTGGTGCTGACAACACCAAGTCAATGGTTAAGATCCCCTTACTGGTCATCTTTAAAAATATATATATATATATATCAAGTGGGCAGTTGATTATATGGGTCTGCAATGGGTCCACAGTTAAAAGGAAAGGTATCCTAAAAATACAAATTTGGGGGCCGGCCCAGTGGCACACTGGAGAGTGCGCCGCTTGGGAGCGCGGCGGCACTCCCGCCGAGAGTTCGGATCCCATGTGGAGACCAGTTCCCGCTCGCTGGCTGAGCGCGGTGCAGGCGCAACACCGAGGGTTGCGATCCCGTTGCCGGTCCCCGGTGCAGGCGCGACACCGAGGGTTGCGAACCCGTTACCGGTCAGTAAAAAAAAAAGACAAAAAAAAAAAAGATACAAATTTGGGAGTCAGCAGTTAGTTTTTTAAGCTGATGATGTTCCCAAGGGAGAGAGCATAGATAGAAAAAGAGAAATCATCCCAGGACTGAGCCCTGGGGTACTCCAACATTTAGAGATCAAAGATGAGAAGTAACCCACAAGAACCTGAGAAGCAGCAGCCAGGAAGGTAGGGGGAAAACCACCTGAGTAGCTGGATATGGTGGTCTGTAAATCAAGGTAAGAAAGCATTTCAAAAAAATGTTTTTTTTTTTGTCTTTTTCCGTGTCCGGCAACGGATCGCAACCCTCAGTGTCGCCCCTGTACCGGACCGGGACCCGCAACGGGATCGCAACCCTTGGTGTTGCCCCCGCGCCTCGCTCAGCCAGTGAGCGGGAACCGGTCTGTATGTGGGATCCGAACCCTCGTCGGGAGCGCCTCCGCGCTTCCCAAGCGGCGCACTAGCGCAGTGAGCCACCGGGCCGGCCCCCAAAAAATGTTTTTAAATAAACATAAAAAAAATTTTAATGAAGAAAAAAGGTTAAAAAAAAATAAGTTTAGTGATCAACTATTTCAAATCCTATTGATGGGTAAAAGAGGCTGAGGACTGAGTATCAGTATGTAGTCTTTATCCAGTAAGTTTCCTACTCAGTCCCTGCAAGAACTATGACAAGTAATCCATCAAATTACTTACTTGTTACAGCAAATATGTATTTAGTTCCTGCTGTGTGGTATAGACATTATGGTAGGTACTTGACCCAAGATAAATAAGACACTGCTCCTACCACCATAGTGTCCTGTAAATCCGTAAATGAGGTAAGAACATATCCTAGTCAAGGAGCCCCTGGACAAGGAACTTCCTGAGGACTGGATTCCCATTTTATTTTCTGTATACTCCATGGATGATGCTCAGTAAATGTTTGATGAATAAATAAATGTATGCTCCAAAAGCACATAGGGTGAAAAAGTTAATTTCCTGAGGGTGACAGAGAAGCTTCACAAAGTCAGTATTTGAATCCTGAAAGACTTAGGCATTCATTGGGAGGTCAGAAATACAACCAGCTATTAGAAGTTTGCCCTTATTCCACATAACTGTTTAAGCAGCCATAGGGGCTATCTGAGGTTTAATAAAACTCCTTAACTGATGAGAGCAATATGGAGTTACCTTTGTTTGCAGCTCAGGTACTTGTGTTTGGTAGTAAAACATTATTGTTACCTTAGGTGGAGTGGCACAGCTCATAATAAATGTTTTAAATTATTAATGCCTAGCTAATTGATAGTCAAGAGGGTCTAACGGACTTCTTTGTAGTTTTATATGTTAACTGAACCTTGGCCAAGGACTGACTATTCATAACATCATTTGATAGTAGCTTGATTTTATATATATATATGTATGTATATCAGGCTTACCTGTAGTGCAACTATATGCCAAAGGAACATAAAAAATAATGGAATGATTCAATTTCTGTGAGCATTAGTCAGAGAGGATAACTAAAAAGAAATCTATTTTAAATCACCTTCAAAGACATGAATGAGAGGAAGAGTGTTCCAAACAGGGGGTAATGAACCATGCAAAGACCTAGAAGCCAGAAGGTATGATTAGCATGTTGGGGATTCGCTTTATTAGGATAGGTTAATTTGGGCCTAGTTCTTGCTTCCCTTCTCACAACTTCCCATCGCCTAGCCCATTCATGACTTAGAAGCCAGGATTCTGGGGAGTTCCCCTCAAAAAGATGGGTTTCCTTTTCCTTTGGGCTCCTTTAGAATTATGGCAAAAAGTAGTCCTGCCTCTTTCCCCATTCTGTTTTCTAACCACTTGCTCTCTGCTCTTTGCCCTCCTTCCTGGCAGAAAGCCCCAAGGAAAGCTCAGAGCCAACGGGTTCTCCAGCCCCTGTGATTCAGCACAGCTCAGCAACAGCCCCTAGCAATGGCCTCAGTGTTCGCTCTGCAGCTGAAGCTGTAGCCACCTCGGTCCTCACTCAGATGGCCAGCCAAAGGACAGAACTGAGCATGCCGATACAGTCGCATGTGATCATGACCCCTCAGTCCCAGTCTGCGGGCAGATGATGCCTCCCCTGGTGGAGAGGTACCCAGCCAGAGCTCGCCCGCCCAAGAGCTAAGAGAGAAGATGTCATCTTTTCCCCTTCCATCTGCCTTGGACGTGGCAATATGGGGGGAAAATTGTGTGTTGTGAGTAATGGACAGATTTGGGGCTTTTCTCTTCAGCCACATGGTCATGTATGTTTGACATCTGAACTGGAGGCCTCCCAGCTCCAGAGCCACATAGAGCATCCCCCAAGGGTGGAGTTTCTGATGTACCCACAGCCAAAGACCTTTCCAGATGGTCCGAACAATCACCCCTGCCCCATGCACATGTACCTGTCTCTTTTAACACTAACCCTTGTACTTCTAGGTTTGGGATTTCTCAATTCCCTTTCTTCCCACTAAGCTATGGCTGTTACCTTCTTGTTCCTTATCAGCATGCCACTTCCTGCTAGATAGAGGGAGGCTAGATTTAATGGCATAGCACTTGCTGACCCATCCCCGGCCACCCCATGGACTCAGGACTTTGTCTCCCAATAGCTGTTTATTTATCCCTTTTTCCCTTTCCTAAACTGTAGTTAAAACATTCACTTATGGAGAATGTAAGGTTACCTTTAAGGTATGAAGTAGCAGTATTTTCCAATTCTTCCATAAGCTTTACACCTTCTCCCTACCTGCCACCAAAAAAAAAAAAGAGGAGAGAAACAAACAAAACCCCAAGAGGTCCAGTCCTTTTTCATCTGTTTCTAGAGCTATTTGGGTACCTCATTTTGTCTCTTGACTTGACTTAGTCTCATGGTGTGGTCTTCTCCACCCACCCCCACCCCCCCACTCAGCCGTGGCAACCTCATCTTGTGGCCTTAATATTGGTGGTACAAAGGGAAAGAGCCCGGGATCATCTGACTGCCTGATGCCCTCTCCCCACTCTCCTTTCCTTCAGTTCTCTCTTTTTTTTGACCGGTAAGGGGATCGCAACCCTGGGCACGGTGTGGTCCACACCACGCTCAGCCAGTGAGCACACAGGCCATCCCTATATAGGATCTGAACCCGCGGCCTCGGCGCTACCAGCGCCACACTCTCCCAAGTGAGCCACGGGGCCGGCCCTTTCCTTTAGTTCTGATCATCAGACCAGGCAGGAACAATGTAGTTTAAAGCTCATTCCCCTGGGTTTCTGGATTAGTTAATTCTTTTATGTTTTTATGAGTTTACTGGTCAAACTGTACATATTGTCATCTTTGGTCCTCTTCCTGCTCCTGCCTCTCCCTCTTCATTCCCTTAATGAAGACATTACTACTTCCATCTCTCTTCTAGAAATAGTTCAGTTGCACCCCCCCTGGAGTCTGTCGTGTAGGGGATCCCTGCATTCTCTTGCTCTTCCCCCAATCTCAGCCTCACAACCTTCTTAAGTAGGGTCTTGTATTTGCAAGTGCCCATCACCCTCTTGACTACCTTCTCTCTCTTTCATCAGGTTCCTAGCCTAGCCACTAGGTATCCCTGTCCTGCAGAGTTTCTTCAACTCGTTTCTGCTCTGTTTCCTAAATGTAATGCTTCTCCATAGTACAAGCTCTAGGACTGTGAAGCATCATAGCCAAGTCCTGAGTAGGTTTTCTTGAGTATAAGATTGGATGGAAAGAGGAGGGGAGAGGGAAGGGACAGTACTAATCTCAGCAGAGGTGCCCAGGATCTGGCCTGCATGGGAAATTGGTGATTGTCGCTCTCGGCCATTCTCACTTTGAAAAGGTATGTTGCAGGGGGAGAAATTCATCCCTCTTCTTCCTCTTTCTTCCCCACTAGAACTTCTTGCCCTCCCTTTGCTCTGAACTATGCAATTTCTACCAGGACTGTAGGGAGCAATCCAAAGCCAGAGTCCTATGAATGGATAGGTCAGCTTTAATAGCCCTTCAGTATGAAACCCTTCCAGTTGTCCCAGAGCCACCTTCTGCCATCTGCCCAAGCTAAGAATGTCCTTTTCTCCATCTCTCCTACCTCCATCTTAAACATACATACAAAATAACTGCCAGATTCATTTCTCATTTCATCTTCCAAAATGCCTGTTATAGGGGAATGAGAAAATGTTCTAAGCTACAAGATTTCCTTCTCCTCAGAGTGATATACTGGTGAATCAGTCGGGTTGGATGTTCTGCTGCATTTGTTTTAAGTTTCCCCTCCTGCTTTTCAGAGCTGGTGCTGAACAAGCCACACCTGGTGAAGATAAAGGAGAGAAAACAAGGTTTTCTCATCTTCTACCACCAGGGATCCAACAGGAACAGCCCCTGAGGTACTCAGACTAGCAAATGTCATGGCAGATGGTCCGGATGCAGGTTACCACCTCCAGAGACTTCACATGCCTTTAAAAATTCACAGCCATAACTTGTGCTCAGGATTTCTCCTTTAGACGGCTGCTCCCTGGGATCTTCTCTTGCTTTAAGAGTTTTCTTTCATTTTTTTTGTCTTGAGTTCCCACTAGCAGCCGTGCACTGAAGCTTGACTGAACTTATGGCTCCTAAGGAGCTTTTCATAAGACCCTTGACTGTTTTTCTTCCCCCTACAGTCAAATGTTTTTAAAGTTAAGAATCAGTTTGTCACTGTGTACATGTGCTGGCAGTCTGTCCCTGTGTACTGTGTTGGATGGCTAATTTATGTAGAGGGTCTTTTTTAGTTTCTTAGCTCCCATGTCTAATTCTCTTGAGTCCCTATTTCATTTTCAGTGGGAAGTTAGTATTGGGGACCTAAATGAGGGGCATTGCCAGAACCATAGTAGTGAAGTGGCACTGAAATGAGGAAGGGGCAGGACAGAACCCCCAGACAGATCTTTAATTGGTCCTCGGTCTCAGTAAGAAGGCAGAGCAATTGCTTACCCTGAAGCTTCTCTTACAGTCAAGGGGAACATCACTTACCTTATTATTCCTGCCAGCCATGTGGTCACGTTCCCCTAATCTTTGCCTTCCAGACTCATCTGGACCAGAACCAAACATCATGGAGGTAGCTCTTCTTAAGGACCATGGCCTTTCTAGGAACTTAAGGGAGGACACTTTCAGACAGGAGCTGAGAGCGTGGATGTTTTGGACTCTTCTGAGTGAATACAGGCTTCAGGTCTCCCACCTCACTCCAAAGACACAGCTACTGCTAGATACCCAGGACCACCGAGAAAGGGGTCAGAAACAGGTCTTCAGGTCTGCACACTTTTCTGCCCCTTTCCCTTAAAAGAAGGCTTACTTAGAGTTGGAAAGTCTGAGAGTCTCCCACACTACTAGGAAGGACTAGAAAGAGTAGTACCTCCTTTACTTACTTCTTTCCGTGTTGGATGTGCACCCCAAATCTGGGTTCCTTCAACCTCCACTCCTCTCCTCGGCCCTAAGCACTAGACCTTATATTGTAGGTGGTGGTTAAAGAGGAGTTGGGCTAACTGCATCTCACCTTGCTGCCTTCCTTTCCTGTCCCTGTTCTATTGATCTCAGCTCCTTTCTTGATTCACGGCCCTCCAGCACCTCCCATCCTGGTAGATAGAGTGCTAAACCATAACCATGCACGATCTGCAACCTGAACCACCAGGCAGACACAGAAACATTCTTCCTCTGATTTCTGAGGCTACCCTGCCCCACATTGAGAGGCTCCTTAAAGGTGCTAGTCCCTGAGACAGCTCTCCCCACCAAAATTTCCCCCTTTCATAACTTTCTTCCCATCCCCAAATCATTATTTTCCATTAATATTGTACATTGTATACACAGGAAGGAAATGTTATTTCTTTTTTCTAAGTTCATAACCAGTCTGTTTAGATTCCAGTCCTCCTAGCTATATCACATATGCCTTTGTTGATATGCTCTTTCTGCTTTCTTTAGACTTATGTTTGATGGGGGTGGGGCAGTTTCAGAGGAACAGGACAGGTGGGGATCCTAAGGCAGATTAGAGGAACCCACACCCCACTACAGCCTCCTATAATCCTAATCATCCTTCTTATAGAACTGATTTCTCTATATTTGTTTGCATACATGCATGTGCATACAGACATAAAGCTCCACCCTCCCACCCCAGGATGGCAACCTAGCAGAAATGAACCTATGTGGCTGCTGGCCAGCAATCCCACCCTCTGCACTAATTGAATTCTCTCTCTTTGGGGTAAAGGCAGCTTATGTCCTTTGTAGATGCAGGTTTGTATTGTAGCTACTAGAGTTTATTCTATTTTTTTAATGGGGGGCTAGTAGCACAGATATCTCTCACCATTAGTTACTGGTGAGTGATGCTTTAGCTGTGAGAAGTGGCTATGAGCACTAGTTTCACTGACTTTACCTTGGGGCAGTGGTTCTCAAAATATGGTGCAGGACCAGCAGCATCAGCATCACCATCATCTGGGAACTTGTTAGAAATGCACATTCTTAGGCCCCATCCCAGACCTATTGAATCAGACACTCTAGGGGTGGGTTTTAACAAGCACTCCAAGTGATTCTAATGTATACTAAAGCTTGAGAACAATTGCCTCGGAGGCAAGATGGGAAATTCTTATGGGGTGTCAAGGATATTTTATGTACTATCCTCTGCCTTAGCACTAACATATTTTTCTATTTGTTCCAGTCCCTCCCTCCATTCCCATTAAAACAACCAGCACCACATCACTCATCTCAAAATCTAGATTTGTCTTCCTTCTAGTCTTTTTCCTAAAACCTATCCCTGCATTGGTCTGGACAGGAGTTGTCCTGTATTCCCTTGCAGACTGGTCACTCCACATTCTTTGTTACATTAAGGACCAGCTGGAGCTTTAGCTGTCCCGTTCCTCCCACACACACACACCTTTCAGGCAGGGAGGAGATGAGTCTCCAGCCCCAACAGTGGAGGCAGCCCCGCATCCTGACACAGCATCTATTGAAAAGAAAGCAGTGTGTATCTATGATTATATCTCTGTTCATCTATATATTTTTGACATGTAGCGACACCTCTCCATCTCAAGGAATTTGAGTCTGGGTCTGGGTCTCCCCAGTTCCCAGTGGTGGACTTTGACAGGAGGGAGGATGCAGTGCTACAGGCTACTTTGTTACAAAACTCTCTTCCCTTCCACCCAATTCAGCATGATCCCTGTGAGCAGGTTCTCACAATCTCCTGGGACAGAGCTGAGGCAGGGGCTTCGCTCTATTCTCCCTAACCATCCATTCTTCCTTCCCCCTTGCCACTTAGCAGTTATCCAGCCCGCCATGCCTTCTCCCTCCTTCCCTTGCCCTGGCATATATTGTGCCTTATTTATGCTGCAAATATAACATTAAACTATCAAGAGAACCACTGTTATGTCTGATGCTTCACTACTCTGATCTACAAATCCCATTGTCCACTCTTTTGGGAACTGACTGGGCTTTCATGTCTGTGATCTTCCTCACTCTCCCATTTGTTAGGACGGAAGGAGCAGGGATTCTTTTCCCTACTTTTTCTATAGGGAAGACAGCCTAGAGAAGGCAGATGATCTATATAAATTACATAGTATGACAGAAGGCATGAGGATCAGAGCTTAGGCCTGTGGACTGCCTTGGAGGGAAGGGCCCTTGACATCATGGGAGCAGTCACCAGAGAACTGAGTGTGTGCTTTATGTGGATATGGGTTGGAAGAGTGGCTGAAGGCAGGTGGCCTCCTATCTTTCAGTGTTTTGTCTCCATCCCCTCCCAACAATTTAAAAGAAAAAAGCCCCACCCTAAAGAAGTTTCCAGCACAACTGGGGAGTGCACACATAGACATAGAAAGTGAAGCTTTCTGTGATGAGGAGGTTAGTCTAGAAATGAGGGGTGGAGTTTGTTCAGAAGCAGGTAAGAGTTCACAAGAGAAACAGGTAATGCTCAGAGATTATGAGGAATAAGGAGAATGTGTAGGGAAATAACTGATAATTTCTTCCATCTGTGTATTCCTTTATAATTATCCTTATAAGGGAGAACAGTGAGCCCAGGCTGAAGAATCTGACAAATGAGATAGGAGGCTTCCCAATAGGAGAGAAATGATTTCAGAAGCTGCTTGTGGCTGGTGACTAATAGACAATTGACACAAATAGGGAACCTGAGTCTACAAAGGAGAGTGGGAAAGGCAATGGTGGTCTTCACTGTGTTGTGGTCAGGAGCACACGGGGGGATCCAGAAAAGGGGAAAAAGGAAGTTGTTGAAAGCCAACTACCAAAGCCAAGATTGAGAGGTTTTCGAGGTGGGAATGCAACTGTAGAGACACAGCAATTTACCAAGTTAGAAGTATTAACTCATTCTAACTTTTAAGCAAAGGAGAGACTGACCACCTCCTTCCAGGAAGCCAGCTAGACCACCCCCTTTCTGAATGCAACCTCAGCTCAGATCTACTTGTAACTGGTGGTCAGAGAAGTGTGAGGAGGAGCAGCACAGGTGGTAAGCACTGACTGCCTGCTCTGTGCTAGATAGTAGAGTGCTTTGCATTCAAGTCATGTACTGGTCACAACAGGAATACCTGCTTCCTTTCACTGATGATGAACTGAGGTTTAGATAAGTCACACAGTTAAGTGCAAGAACTAGGATTAAAACTGAGTTCTGTCTGGCACAGAACCACTCCTTGCAATGCCCTACACACCCTCACAACCCTGCTCCTCTAGACTTCTCTGTCAGGTGGAACAGACAAGGACCACAACGTGATGTAGGAGCGACTTCCCACAGAAGCACCACCTACACATGGACTTGATACTCCCCTTTAAGAAGCAGTAAACTACAAGATGTAATGATGATGAATGGAAGATTCTATGCATGAACCAACCATAAGACAAAACTTACAAAAAGGCTCACCCTATGTTAGGCTGTATTAATAGAAATATATGAGGGTATTTCAAAAAGTTCATGGAAAGGGCCGGCTGAGTGCGGAGCTTGGGAGCGCGGCAGCACTCCTGCTGAGGGTTCGGATCCCATATAGAGACCGGTCCGCTCACTGGTTGAGCGCGGTGCGGGCGCGACACCAAGGGTTGCGATCCCGTTACCGGTCACAAAAAAAGGAAAAAAAAAAAAAGTTCATGGAAAGATTTGTGTTATCTTTTAATTCAATTTTTCCATGAACTTTTTGAAGTACCCTCAAATCTAGAACATCCAAATCAAAATTTGCTTTAAGCTACATATATATAAGGTGTAAGTTGGTTCCTAGATTCTTTGCTTTGAAGAGTTTGGCACTTTCCCTTGCAAAAAGACTATAGCATGGAAGAATAAAATCTGTCTTCAAATGATGAAGGGCTTTTACACATGAAAGAGATGAGAGATGTTCTGTGAGACTTGATGGAGGAGACTAAGACCTCTGGTGGAAGCCACAGCGAGCCTGGAGTCAACTCAGCACAAGGATAAATATCTAAAGACTGTCTCAGGAGATGGTGAGTTCTCTAGGACTGGGGTGTGCAAGGTAATCACTGATAATGTTTTGAGGATTCTTGCTCTATACCATATCCTGTGCTGAATGAATTAGAAAAGGGATCTCAAATAATGTTCACCCTAGAAAATTTCTCTTAATGTCCTCATGTTTTATGTGAAGAAACTCGAGACAGCTTGCCCAAGGCTAAGTCAAAGTCCCACTACCTCTTCAGCATAGGCTAGAGAACCACACTGGTGGTGATACTCAGGAAGGTATTCTAGAATTAGAAGGAAACTACACTAGATGACTTGGAAGCACCCCTCCCTGAGAAGTAGTGATTCTGGTTTTTCCTAAGGAAGGATCCTGTCTATCCGTGTGTGAGAGCCAGAGCCGGGCGGAGGCTGTGGTGACTGGGCAGATTGGACAGAATGATAGTCCAGCCCCACAGTATCTTGCTACTGCCCTCCTGGGACTCCTTGGAGTCAGGGCCTTAGGATTCCCACTCTGCCTCCCCTTCCTAGGTTCCTCCTTCTAAGAGCTCTGTTCTAGAAAAAGGAAATGGCTAGACATAGCAGTGAGGAGCCATGACCACAGGGTGGCAGCAGAGCTTCAGCCATGGAGGACTGCTCCGTAGAAAGAGCCGTGAGGCAGGTCCCAAGCAGTGCTGTCTGTCTGGTGAGGATGGGCTCTACCAAGATTTGAAGCCACCCCCACTCTGTGTGAACCCTTCTGTCATCTTCCATATCTCACTTTTCTATCCACAGGCAAATCTCAAGAGTAGTGATTCCATTTTTAACTATCCAAGAAGCGTGTAAAGAGGAGTTTAAATAGGCTGTGTGATCCTGACTGCTCGCCCATCAGGGGAAGGACCAGGCTGGGTCATCCTGGCCACCTCTAACCCTGTCTCTTCCCTCTCTCCCTCCATTCCAGGATGTGGTAACTAGCTCCGACAGGAGTTTTTCTATACTTTAGTCTACAAGTTAGGAAAGAGGGAAGGTGATCAATTGAAGCTCTCCAAACTGTTGAAGGATTGGGGGTTCTTGTAAGGCCCCTGGGGCCTGGCTCTGACAGAGCATCTGCAATTAATGATGCTTCTTGAGCTCTGGAGACAGGATTTATGCATCTAATAAAGTCTGTAACTCCAGGCTTAGGGGCTGGGGGCCGGAGGCTGAGAGCAGGAAGTCCCAGGGGGGCCATGGGAGGGAATCCCAGGCGGCTCTTAATGGAGCCGTGTATTTCCATTGCCTTCTCTAGATTCCCCCTCAGGCTGCTGTTGGAAGTGGGGGACAAAAGGGACAGGAGGTATAAGAGGCTGGGGTGGCTGCAGGAAGGCGGATGGCAGCATGGATTCTAGGCAAGCAGCTGCGCTGCTGGTGTTGTTGTTGCTAATAGACTGGGGCCACGGTGAAGGACCAGGGGGCCAGGGTGAAGATCAGATCTTCCTGGTAAGTGAGCACCCCATCCCCATACCACCATTTTCCTCTACTTCAGATAAGACTTGTGCTCTAGGTTCAGATATGCTCTCTGGCTGCCAGAGTCTTCATTAAGCCCTCACATTGGAGGAAATGGCTCTTTAGCCTCCTACAACTTGTCCCTGGAAGCCACTCCCTTCCCCATGTGACTTAAGAATCCAGGGCATTTGTTCATCTTCCTTCCCTGATACCCCTTTGCCATAGGAAGAAGACAATGGACCCCGCCCACCACAGGATGCCCAGACCCCTGGGTCACTCCTGCACTCCCTGCTCCAGGCCATGCAGAGAACTGGACGGAGCCCAGTCTTCCTGTTTCAGCCTCAGAGGTGAGTCTGAAAGGGACACAGCATGGCTGGGATGAAATGGGCAGGGGACAGAGGAAGAGGAGAGGGAAGAGGTCCCACTGAAGGGACCTCATACATCTGAGGATGAATCTCTTCTAAGGTTTGGCAGAAATACGCAGGGAGTCTGGAGCAATGAACAGCTGAGTCCCCGGGCTGGAGATGGGCTGAACTCCCAGTTCTGGAGCCTGGCTGCCCCTCAGCGCTTTGGAAAGAAGTGACATGTCATCCCTTCACGTGTTTGCATGCAAGGCACACACTCAAAAGTGCCATGTTTTCACCCAAATAAAGCTGTCTGCTTCTGAATCCATGTGTGCCTGTATGACACTTTAAAGGGCTGGGAGGAAGCCCCAGGGGCAAGAACCAATGCCCCCTCCATCTCCACCAAACCAAACTCCAGAAATGCAGCTGACATGTTCCTGAAGGTCACTGAACCTGGCCTCCTGCTACCTGAGAGGAAAACAAGGATGTGCGTGGAATGGGGGTGAGGGGGTAGGGAACACCAGAGAAGCTAATGGAAGGCACAGGAGAGGAAGAAGTAATGTAGAGCTGACCTCCTCTGCCATCCGCACAACTCAGGGAAACAAAGAGCAGGGTTTAGGAATCCAAGGAGCAGTGCGTTTATTCTGAGCTCTAATGCAGAGCCCCCCGATTTAATTCCCACTCGTCATCACCAATAAAATGAGGACGGATCCTGGGCTGGCTGAGGCCTTGTGGTCCCTGACTCCTTGCTCTGTGCCTTCCTCAGCCTCAAGGCAGGCAGTCTGTGTCAGAGGTAGAGATAGCACCTCCAGAGGGTACCAGAGCTGAGCAGATGCACGGGCCCAGAGGCAGGAGGAGCAGGGAGCAAAGGTGCACATCCATGAGTCCAGCTGGGACTTTACTTGCTGCCTGCCATGATCTTGAGATACTGCAGGGCACGGCGAGCAGCCTCGCCACGGGCTGCCTCCCTGGTGGCTGCAGAGCCATGACACACGGTGGCCGGCTGGGTGGACAGTTCTACCAGGCACTGGCAGAGCCCACTCAGGCTCAGCTCCTCTGGAGGCCAAGAGAGAGGAGGGAGGCAGTGTTGGGTGGGGAGGCAGCACCAGGGAGGGGCACAGCCACATCATACCCATCTCCTCCTGACCCCCTTATACTTGCCCTGGTCTAGCCCCCACCATCCCCCAGCTCCCCAACTAGCCATACCAATATCCAGGTAGCTGACATGGAAGGCCTGCTCCTCAGAGAGCTCACTGAGGACCCTGCAGCAGGCAGGGCCCAGTGCACCTAGGGAGCCCAGGGAGCAACTGCGGAGGGACAGGATCTTCTCTCCCACCGAATTGCGCAGAGAATCCCAGGTGCAGCCTGGGACCCGATTCCGAAGTCCGTCCAAGCGGGAGCCGACACCCTGACAAGATGGGGACAGTGAGAAAGATACAGCCATGGGCTGTGGGACCCAGGCATTTAGACATTCAACATCCAAGGCAAGTAAAGCCCAAAGAATGCTTCCTCCAGCTTGCATTCCCCGCAGTCAGTCCCTGCATGGGCCCCTCTAACTCCTGGTCCCTGGACCAGATGACCAAGCAGCCTTCCTCATTCCAGTAACAGAAGCCTACAGGGCCCTTGCCCTGGGCCAGCTCCCCCTAGTCACCATGTGGGCCTAGTCATGGCTGGAAGGGGACATAAGGAACCCTGGGTCTTGTAGGAAAACTTGGGCAGAAGCAAGCCTGGGACCCAGGGAGGCTCACCCAACTCACAGACCCAAGTCCCTGGTGCCCTGCCCTGGCATGGAGCATGGCCCATGGTGCCTGGCCCACACAAGCCACTCACAATGGAGAAATGGTCATCATCAGGCTCTGCCTCATTGCCATCCCGGGCATCCAGAGGTACTGTGTGCACTCGCAGCAGCATTTTAGCTGCTGCATTACGCTTCGCCAATTTTTTGGAAGTACCACTGCCTGCATATGGGGAGAGGGTTGCTGCATTGATTCCTGACAGACCCAGTGCTTTCCACCCAGACCATACTTGGATTGAAGGTCCCCCCAGGGGATGTCAATTGGAAAGGGGAGCTCAGGACCTGCCAATGCACCTGAGAACCTGGTCAGCCAGAAAAGAGGGGAAAGACGGGTGCAGGAAGAAGCTAGGAGGAAGGTGCTGGGAAGCCAGGATAGCCAGGGTGAGGTAGAGTGAGGCTCGGAGCTGCTTTGTGGCCAGGGTTGGAGTGCCGCAGGGATAGGAGCTATGAGAACCCCCTTCTGCCCAGTTACCAATCTCAATGAAACGCTCCACTCGGCAGGTCATGGTGAACTCCTTACGGTGGGCTGGCCCAGACTCCTGGGTCACCGTGTACTCTGGCAACCGCCAGCCTTTCTGTACCACCAGCTCCTTAGAAGGGAGACACAGCATACAAGGCTGGGTGAGAAAATACTCCTCATACCCACACTGGTACCCACCCCCTCTCCATCCCACCCCAGGAGCCTCAGACTCTAGGTGACAGGAAGGATAGAGGAGGGTGGAAAAGGCCTCAGTACAGGGTAACCATCCCACCCCACCCACAAACACACATAACCTTCCCTCGTGGCCCCTGGTTCAAGGGAAAACAAGCAGGCACAGGAAATGAGGATGGGCACGCACCTGCAGAGCACCAACAGGGTTGCACTCAGACTGCTGAGGGGAGACAGGGGGCTGCATCTCCATGGGGGGGCTCCTGAAGGAGAAAGGGCCCAAGGCCAAAGCTGAGGGGAAAGATTCCTTCTGTGGCTGCCAATGAGCCCAAGTCCCAACCACTACTTCGGTTTTCCCCACTACCATTTCTCTATTCCCCATCAGGCAGGCAGCTGTCTGTCTGAACATTTAGCCTGCTCCCTTCTCTGTCCCATTCAAGGGAGGCCTCCTCTAGGTCCCGGGCTCATTTTAATTCTGAAACACTTGAGTGTCATCTCGCCAGGACAGTATATCCAGTCCCCAGAAGCACATAATGGACTTTAGACATGGGACCATCATGTGGCCATCCCAGAAGAAAATGGAGCCTGCAAAATCTTAAACATGTTTGAACATCATCCATATGCCTATTTGAAAATCAAATTACCTCCTGTCCCAAGAGCTTACCAGCTGGTGCAAATTCCTCAAGCTCTGGTCCCCAAGTACTGCATTCTCTGTTTACTCTCAGACTTTCTCATGCCTGACCAGATTGGGTCAAGTGCTGGGGGCCAGGAGCCAGGACCCCTTTCTCCCCCAACTCTGGCACTCAGGAGACCCAAGATACCTGGTTAGGACAGCAGATGGAACAGGAGTAGCAGCTGCCGTAGCAGTAAAAACCGGAATGTCCTCAGGCAGTGAAGAGTCTAGGGGAGAAAAAGAACTTCCCGAGGGGAAGGGGGCCTTTGATTCAAACCCATATGTAGGGGGAACAGAGGGGTGGGGGACCCAGGTCCTCCTGACCTGCCCATCCCCTAAGAGAACTCCTTCCCAATGGAGCCAAACAAAGACTCAGGGAGGGCCAACCAACAGCTCTTCCTCCTGGGATCCTTGCTGCCAGACATTGGGTCAAAAAGACTGAGAAAAGGGGGTCTCAGAAAAGAGAGTCTCTTCCTACCCAAGAACCATGGGAGCAGCATGGGAGCAACAGACTCCAACCTGAGTGTGGAAGAGGGAAGGACATCTCGCTGGAAAGACAAGGCATGTTGGCAACCAACTCCCTTTAGCCTCAGCCTCCACTCCTCTCCCTCCCTAACCCGGGCCCCAAACTACAGCCACAACCCCTCAATGGGGCTGGCCATTCCCCCCAGAATTCTTCACAGGAGTAGAAGCCCTGAAAGCACCCTGTTTGGGTCCAGAGGAAACTCTCCAGGTCAGAGTGCCTAAGTGTCACTACACCAGGCCCACGGGGCAGAGGGGGTGGTGCAGGAGCCTGGGTTCCTGGCAGGGCTGTTAAGATGCCTTAGCTGTTCCTCCCTCACCTGCTGTCCTCCAGGGCCGGCTCCAGCATGCTCCCCCCTTTGAGGTGTTTGAGGGCCACCTCAGCTGCCTTGTGCTTGGCTGCCTTCTTGCTGGGGCCCTGACCTGAGAGAGGGGGCGTGAGCAATACTGGAGGTCACTGGAAGGATGGAAAAGAAAGCAGCATCCCACAGCCTCTCTCCTCACGGCCAGGGGAGTCAACCAAGCCCCCTCTGACCAACCTCCCCCTGCCCAAGACTGGAAGTGTTTCATTAACTGCTGGAAGGAAGGACCCTTATCTGTGCATTAGCTCACAGAATCAAGTCATGACAGGTACAATTTCTAAGTTCAAACACCTTAAGTAGAGATTCTTTCTCTGACTTACTTTCCTCTGCAAAGCACTTTCTTTTCCCTCAATAAATAGAGATAGCTAGAAAAATAGAGGGTAGGCTCTGGAATCAAAGCCCCACTCTGTCACTTACTAGGCATGTGACCTTGCACCGTCACTGAATCTCCCTGATACTCAGTTTCCTCATATTCAGCATGGGGATTCTACCACCTATATCACTGGGTTAGATAGGTTTAAGATTAAATGACAATTTGGTTAAGCACCTCCTGGAACAGAGCCCAGGACAGCAGGCACTCACTCCCCCAAACACACCACTGAGATTTAGGTTTATCATCTCCTTATCTCTTCTTTTTTTTTTTTTTTCCTTTTTGTCTTTTTTCGTGACCGGTAACGGGATCGCAACCCTCGGTGCTGCTCCCGCACCGCGCTCAACCAGTGAGCGGACTGGTCTCTATATAGGATCCGAACCCTCGGCGGGAGCGCCACCGCGCTCCCAAGCACCGCACTCTACCGAGTGCGCCACCGGGCCGGCCCCTCCTTATCTCTTCTAAGGTGATGAGGATCTGCCAGAACACTGTGGCCGTCCTGCTCGTTCCTCTAACTCTCCCGAGTCCTACCCACCTTCTCACAGCCCTGTTTGCCCAATCCACCCAGTCGCTTTTCCCCTGAAATCTCTCCTTCTCTCACTGGCCTTGGAGAAGAGGACTGTCAAGAGACTCTAAGAAACAAAGCCATGGGGCCCTGTGAATGCACACCCCATCCAGGCTGCCCAAGCCTTCCTCACCAGTGCAGCTGGTGTTGCCAACGGTGACCCGGAAGGTGAAATTAGGCTGGTGGGCTTGGCCCTCAGCTTTGAGAAGGTCGTACACAGGCGTCTTCCCTATTCTGGTCCCATACTCCTGCAGAAGGCTGATCGGGGTCTTGCCCGGGTTGGTGGCCAGCATTTGCTCTATACTGGGGGGAGGGGCAGAGACCCACATCACACCTCCCCTCTCTGCACCCACCTGGCCAAATATTGCTATACCAGACCTAGGCACATAATGGGGGACATAGGGTCCAGGGACCCCAGGCGGTATAGCATCAATTGGCTGGGTTCAAAGTGGAGGTGCAGGCTGGCAAAAGCAAGGTCCACTACCACAAGGCAAGTGGGGAATGCACTGTTCCTATCTCAGTTAAGGTGGGGTATCCTGTGTCCCAGTGCAGGTTGCAAGCGCATGCCCCTGACAACATGCAGGCCAGGAACCCAGTACCCACCGAATGCACTGAATGTGGGGCAAAAAGCCCAGTGCTCCAGTGCAGTCTGGGAACCGGGCCAACCCAAAACTATTCAGAGCTGGAGGCAGTGGCCACTGTCCCGGTGCATGCTGGGAACCACTGCCCACTACCCCAGTGCTTGCCGGGAACAACCCTCAGGCCAGGTGCATGCTGGGGCCGGGCCGCTACCCTCTCCGCACCGCCCCATGCTTTTCACCCTGCCGGGAACGGTAGGAGGTGGCTCACCTGGGCAGCCCGCAGCCCGTGATAGTGCCGGAGCCCTGCTCCTCTTCACTCATTCCCTCCTCCGTCCCCGCGGGCGCCTCCGTGACTGCAGCCTCCACGCGCCCCAATACACCGCCGACGAGCTAGGACCGGGGCCAAGCCCGGAGCCGCGGCCGGCAGGGCCTGCCGCGGGGCATGCTGGGATATGGAGTCCCCCGCCCACCCTAGTTGACGAGTCTCCATCAGGAGGAGAGCTACCGCCCCACAACCCTCCGCGTGGTTCACCCTGGCAGGCTGCACCGCCTTCTGGGTAGAGCCGACCTCTCCGCTGTCGCTTCCCGACCTGAAGCCGGTTTGGGAGTTTTTTATTTTGCTTTGTTTTTTTGGTGTTTCTTGCGACTGGCCGGTACGCGGATGGAAATTTTGTTTTTTAGTATTGTCCCGCCTCCTGCCTTCTGCGCCTCCTCCGTCTCCCCCGGTCTGTGAGGCCCCTGGTCCGTGAGGCTGTGGGCAGGCGTACAGCAGAGTGGGAGCGGCTGGGGGCGGGACGAGCTTGGGGGGGAGGGGGGCCTTTTGAATCCCGAGAAAACTACAGAACCCAGGAGCTCGCGCGTCATCTCTGTCGCAGCCGGAGGGGCAGAGTCAAACACGTATTTGAAGCTCCGCGGCGTAATTGGCTATTCCGATTGCGGGGGCTTCCTCTAGGCGCATGGAGATTGGTTGCTTTGTCTAGAGGCCTTGGCCCCGCCTCTTACTTGAGGAAAGGTTGTGATTGGCTGGGGGGCGGGGGGCTGGCTCTTTGCGGCCTGGGAGGGTGGGCCTTACCTGGCGCTGGAGGGAGTTGTTCTCTGCCCCCGCAAGGCATTAGGGCTGTTGTAGGTCCAAGCCCATCTCAAAACAGTTCCCCTTCAACCCCCTGACCCTCGGGTTTCCGTGTCACAGAACCTGCTTCCTTTTCCTAGGTTGTCCTTCACGCAGCCTGTCAGGTTCTGCTTCTCTTCTAAAGCCTTGTTAGAACGTCCCTAGTGAGCCTCTCTTTAACTGGCCAGGAAACCTCCTCTGGGGCCTGAGAATCAGTCTATAGTGGGACGACAAGATTAGATGGACTAAGGCATCTGGAGATCTCATTTCTCTGTAGTGGGTCTCTCAGTTGAAGAGAGCAAGAGAGGATTCTGGCCTCCTAGAACTAATCGACTGACTAAGCTGGGCATAGAGCAGAACGCATGTTTAGGGGTCCAAGAGCCCCGTTCCCTCCTCCCCAACGTCTCGCAACCACTAGGCTGAAAGATATAGGGGAAATCGTGTGACATCGGAGAGAGAGAGAGATTGCAAAGAAATGTCTGATTCTAATGAGTATTTTGAGAATGGATCGAGGAAGAGATGTCTTGCTCTGACCCGGGAATAATAATGAGTTATCAAGGAACACTGGAGGAGGATGGGGCGTAGAGCTGAGTGGATTCTAGCTGGGTGAAATTGGAGTAGTGACAAATTAGGGGAAGGAGAGCTGGCAAGATCGGTATGACAGGGCAGCAATGCCAGAGTGCTGGGGATCCTCAGAGTGTAGGAAGGTGTCTATAAGGAGGGTTATAACGGGTTCCTACGGAATCAGCATAAGGCCCAAAGTGGGACAGCCATAGGACACCGCCAGCAGGGAGGCGCTGGGCCCAGGTGGGCCAGGGACGAGCCTGGAGCACGCCGGATAGCAGCAGCGGGCTCCTTTAAGAGGCCGGCGGCTCCAGCGCAGCATCCCCCGCTCAGGGCGTGTCCGTCCCGGGGGGCCAGGGGCGGGGGCCCTGGAAGGAGCAGGAGTTCAAGCCAAGTGGGGACGGGGCTAGGGATCATGGGGGTGGGGACAGAAAGCTGGGGCTGACACCCGTACACCCGGACACCGAACGAGCATCGCCTGTGACAGCGCCCGGGGTCCGGTGGAGGGCAGTGAGGGGAGGGGGAAGGAGGAGGAGAAGGAGGAGGAGGCGGGAGCAGCATCCGGAGCCGAGCTGCAGCAGCGCCGCCTTTTGTGCTGCGGCCGCGGAGCCCCCGAGGTGAGAGCCCAGCCGAGTTGTGGGGGGCAGGGGACAGGGATGGGTCCGGGTCTTGGATCCGAGCATGGAGGAAGGGTCGGGATACAGATGTGGCCTCGTGGGGGAAAGTGGCGCGGGGATGCTGAGGCTGTGGGGATGAGGGAACTGGGGACAGGACCCGACGCCTGTGGGGACGGGAAGGAGGGGAACGGAGCGGAGGGATGCCGCGGCCCAGCTTGTAGACGAAGGGCCTCCAGATCTGGAAAGGACTGTATGGGGGCGGGGGGCAGACTTAAAGGACAGAGGCCAAAGAACATCCTCTTCTCCTCCCACTCATCCTGGAGAAGAGAGAGAGGGAAGGGGGACGGAGGGTTTTGGCCCCCTCCCGGGAAGGAAAGGAAGGGTAAGGCCTGATGGACCCACCATCTACCCCCCTCCCCATCCCCTACACATACTTAGCAGGCTGGACCTGAAGATTATAGGCAGAGAGCACCTGTTCCTGGATGCCCAGGCACTGGTCCCCCTCCCCTTCCAGCTGTGATGCTCCTAATCCCCTCCAGCTGTGGCATTCACCTCCATCCAGCTGTTGAATCGTCCCCTTCCCCATTCATGTGTGGCTTTCTTTCTCCTCTTTCTCTCCATCTCCTCTGGCTTCCCTGACCCACTTTCCCAGGTCAGGCCCTTCAACAACCTCCCTTTCCCACACACACACTTCAAACTCCTTGACTTAAAAATAAGCAAGAATCCTTTCCACAGAGTTGATACTTCCTGATAAACACCACCATGGCTGAACAGAGAAGAGTTAAGGTTCCATAGACAGTGGGAGGAAATAGTAAGATGACTCTTAGAATTACAGAAGGAGTCCCATCTTTTAGTTCCCTTATCTGCTACCTCTTTGGAAGGAGAGTAGGTGAGTGGCCTTCAACCAGGAGGGAGTGGACACAAGGTCTCTTCACCCCACCCAGGGACCTCTCAAGCCACTGTCAATGCCTGCCTCTGGATACCATTTCCCTTGCAACTCTCAAGGAAGACTCCATTGTTTTGGGGGCTCTGGTTTGCAGCCAGAAGGTCATACCAAGCTAAGACAAACAGAAGGGATTCAGAAGGGGAAAGGCCCAAATGCCTGCTGAGCCTTGCTGTCCAGACAATGAAGTTTCTCTGAGCTTTAGGGCCTTGCACCCTCCTATCTTACACTTAAGGGTGAAAAGGTATCTGCCCTCTCAAGCCTACCACTCATACATTCACTCACATTTTGACTGAGGTGATGCTGGGAAGACCCCAAATCTCAGCACACTTGAAAATACAACTAAAAGTCCCTCCCTCAAATAAACCCACTGTTGGGCAGAAGAGGCAAGAAGTTTAAGTAAGGAATTGGCTCAGGATTTCCTAGGCTTCCTTACAGTTGAGGATGGCAGAACCCTTCTAAAAGCCAATTGCTGTTCCCCAGTCCTTCCCTGGGTGGTGATAATGTGGTAGAGTAGATTCTGCCTTTGCCAGGAAGAGGACCCTAGGGTCTAGGACCCACAGCCCTGGACTCTCATCATGTGCAGTCCTACCTCTCTCCTGCCTGGGTCTCGGGAGAAAGAAGGGATTAGGGAATCAACCCCTTAGGGGTCTCTACTGGGGCAGGTGGAAGATAGTGTTGAGATGATGCCAACAGGGGACATAGGGACTTCATGAGGGGTTGACCACAGAGACTGGTCTGTCTGGTTCATTTGTTCCCAGAGGGACTAGGGCCATCTGTGTATTGGGGAAGGGGGTGTGGAGACAGTGACAGTGACCAGAGGAAAATAAGGATCATCCATGAAACAGAGCCCTTGCCCTTTGCTTTTTTCTTTCTTTGCTGTCCTTTTTTCCCTTGTTTCTCTACCTCCCTTTCCACCCGTACCCTCCTACCACTTGCTGCTTTGAAAAGGAGGAAAAGGGAAAGAAAGGAACGGAATCACATTTATAAAAAACCTACTTCTGGGCTGGCCCGTGGCTCGCTCGGGAGAGTGCGGTGCTGATAACACCAAGGCCCCAGGTTCGGATCCCATATGGGGATGGCCGGTTCGCTCACTGGCTCAGCGCGGTGCTGACAACACCTAGTCAAGGGTTAAGATCCCCTTACCGGTCATCTTTAAAAAAAAAAAAAAAAAAAAAACCTACTTCTCCATGTTGGGCACTTTCCACATGGCTAATGTTTATAGAGAGCTTCCTGTGTGCCAGATTCTGGACCAAGAACTTTATTTTGGCCAAGAACTTTAAGATAACATTATCTTAATAATGCTCATAACAAAACTAAATTGGATAGTGTTATCATCTGTTTTAGGGATGAAGAAATTAAAACTTAAGTAATTTGTTCAAAGTCAAAAAGTTAGTATGTGGCAAGAGTTAGGATTTGAACCCAGGTCTGTCTGCATTACTGCTGTGTGACATATAGCTACCACTGTCCCCATTTAGAGATGAAGAAACTGAGGTTTAAGAACTGTCATACTCCAGGTCAGCCAGCTGGTCGGGAGCAGAGATAAGATCTCAACAAGACTCCCTGACTCTGAGGCCTGTGCTCTCTCCTCCACACCATTCATCCTCCCTCTGTAGCACAGCTGTCTTAAGCTAGGTGACAAGAATAGATGGGCACTGCATAAAT